AAGATAACGAAGAAGCGTGGTAGTAGGGATGCGCGTAGTCGTGTGGTTGCACATGAGCGTTCTCCAACACCTCCACCTGTATACAACTCCCGTGGCCGCAAAATCGCTCCTCGCAGAAAATTTGAGGCAGAAATATGATACTAGGACCTAGTAGAGTATTTCTGTGTTTTCTTACATGATAATTACTACTGTACGTGGTGCGGCAGCCTCAATTTTGGTGGAGCTGTTTTTGGTGGTTCGGCGCATTGCGCGAATCCGCGCATTCCGCGCACGGACACAGTAAAGCCGAGTAAATCCGACGCATCTCTCCAAGCGGTCGCGAAACCCTTCTTGCATGTCTCCCCACGCCCAGCAAAGAATCCCATAAGCCCTGCGCAGCCGGCGCATCACCGTCGCTCATCATGGCGCAGCAGCCCATGACTTCGTTTTGGCCCATATTTGCCTCCAAATCGGATGGACAGCACGTCGTGAACATCAAGGGCAGGCCCATACGCAACGGGCCGACCGAAGAGCAGCTGAACATGTCGCCCAACGACCAGGGCCAGCGTGATTTTTACCGCCTGATCGAGAAGGATGATCCCAAACACCAGGATTGGCGTAAGAAGCTGGGCGGTATGCTCTTGCGCGAGATTGGCGGCAAGCAGTATGAGGGTAAGAGGAAGCCACGCGGGCTAGCGGCGGCAGAAAGCTGACTTATGGCAGACAAGTGGCAGCAATGCATTCTGTGGGAACTGCCTGACAACTACGTCCTGTACGAGCACATCAAAACAAAGGCGGATGGCCAGGTCAAGACGGTAAAGAACCACTCTGGCGGAGGTCACGATCGCCAGGATGCCTACCTCTATGGCTATCCCAAGGGCCCTAAGAAGCGCTTCAGGAGCCCTGTCGAATTCTTTCCCCATCTGCTGTGGCTATGCAACGACGAGAACAGCGATATGACCAACTGCACGTGCAAAATGTGCTCTCCAGCGGGCGACGTTGAGAAACCTCAGCCCAAGGTCGAGGTCAAGCAAGAGCAGCCAGTGCCTCTCAAGCGAGAAAACAGCTCCAGTGGGACTGCTCCAAACACCAACAACAGCAATATCGTGGGCAGGAATCCCGTCGTACAGATACCTGCGCATCGAACCTCCATGACTGCGCCAATCCCAAGCCCCATTATCAAGCCAGCCACACCTGTCCCTGTACAGACGTCGACTCCTAGTGCGCCGCAGATTCGGGCTCCTCCGACACTACAATCGACGCCCCTCCCCCAACCGCGGTCACTCGAGCAACAAGCGGATCTCACCTACAACAAGTTCCTATGTCGAACAGGAGAGGTGGTATGGTTCTTCCGGCCCAAGACATCTGCCTGGGGTCTTGGACTTGTTGTGCAAAGATGGGCTCAGGCAGAGAACCCCATGAACAGGTCGTACCTAGTTCAGCCCCTCTCACATCCATTCGAGTCCCTTCCACAGGAGATTATACATACAGATGAGCACATCAAGCCGTGGTTAGCTTGGTCTGCGCCTAGTTGCACATTTCCCTTTCTGCAGCAAAACCCTCAGTTTGAGTATGGTAACACTGACTGGAGAGCACTCATCAATGGACAGGGTGGTGAGGGCATTGCCTCTGTTGATGCATCTATCCTCGCAGCCAAGGCGATTGATACCACATATACACTCTTTGAGCGCTTGAAGACTTCGAAGGATGACAAAGGAAACGAATTCAGACAGTACAACGGCATATTCCTAGGTGCAGAGAAGATCTGGAGGGGCGAGCCTGTTCGTCTACGCATAGGCGCCACTGGAAGCGACCTCATGGTCATTACAGACATTATCGAACAGGTCCTAGCCAACCCACCGCCCAATCAGCCAAATTCAAAGGTGATTGCAGTGGGCGATGTGTATAGCTACGCAACTTTGGATGCCCCAGACCCGAATCTTCCTCCAAAGCCACCACAGCAAAACCCCAACATACCCTCTCGCATGGTCCATGACATGGTATGGCGGAACCGCTTGCTCGTGCCCGCAACGCGCACGGCTGCATGGTGGAAACTCATCCAGCCCTCATACAAGCTGGATATTGACGACATCAAAGGGCGTTGGTATGAAACCAGTCTCATCTTCCAGGAACCGTTTACCAAGGCTGTCAAGAATGGCGAGGGAGGCAACGGCATCTGGATGAATGCCCGCGGAGATGCAACAGGCAAGGGTAAAGGGAGTGGTATTCCACAACCCGATCGCATTGGCGCTTTCGGGGCCTCTGTACCAAAGGGTACGCGTATTATTGAGGGTCTGGAGCCGCCGAGCCAGCCCATGGGTCAGGCACAGCAATCTCATGACGGAATGGAAATTTCCATGAATGCAGGAATGCCGGATCCATTTTCGATTGACGAGTTCATGCACGTCGACCATCTAGGTGACGAGGCGGGCATGGAATATGGAGGCAACAATAACTACACATATTAGCACGAGCTGGCGTTTATTCCGGGATTTGATGGCATTGTTCGGCGCGACATGGGAGATTTTTGAGGATCCGATAAAAGCAATTGAGGTCATGAAGGAGGTAAGATTTGGTACTCTACAGGTAGTACTCATTGTGGGAGATACCCGGGTTGGCTATTTAAGATGGGCATTTTTACGAGCATAATGTACGAAGCAGTTTTATCAAAAATAAGTTCATCATTGGCAGGACTCGATATCGTTCAAACCGAGAAGATATGATGCTTGACTGGACATAAGCTCCGCCAACCTTTTTTTAGTTCAAGTCCTCCAACCGACCCTCGATAACCTCGCAAGCTGCAAGCAACCCAACCACTTCGCCCAACCAAATCTCCATCTTTCCGCGGCTACAGCATGCGGCTCTAATCCCGGGGAATTACCCCCCATCCACCATGCACGCAGCCCGTCATCCATTCCCCAATACGTCCCTCTCGCCGACCCCCGATGTCCCGCCACAAGACCCCAACGCAATTGCTCCTGCCGCATCCGTGCTAGCCGACCCAATTAACAACATCCTTGCGACCTGCCCGTTTATCAACACCGAATCACGGCGCGCAACGAGCGCAGGTGAGAAGGCAAAAGGTGCGTTGTTCCCGCGGTATCGGGCGCGCCGCGTCGGTGGTTCCTGCAGCGATTATCGCCGCCAGTATGCTTATGGCGTAGGTGGATGGAGGTGGTGAGCCGGGTTTGCGGGAGAGGGTGGTTGGGGGATAGGGAATGGGGGATATAAAAGGTGAGGCTTGGGCGGGTTGCTTGGATGTGTCCATACGAAGCTTCTGAGCTTGTGTTGCTTGTCAAATTGTTCAAGATGCGGTTCCAATTGAGTACGGCGTTGACGGCGGCGCTGGGTCTTGCGGCGTCGGCGGATGCGCTGAAGATCCTCATGGGAAACGATGATGGGTTTGGGAGCGGCAACCTGAGAGAGTTGTATAAGATACTGGTTGATGCGGGTCATGAAGGTGCGTTTTTTTCAATCGTTGTTCGTAGACACCACTGACGGTACGGGATAGTACTCATCGTTGCACCCGCTCAACAGCAGTCCGGAAAAGGCACGACAGTCATCTGGGCAGAAACCGCCAACCTCACTGTACCTTCACAGTACAACATTATCCCAGCGGGCGCCCCATCAGTCGGTCGTGATCCTACCGACGACAACATCTGGTACTACGACGGCACACCTGCGGCCTGCACCTTCGTGGCCCTCGACTACGTGCTCCCCCGATACTACCCAGACTGGAAGCAAACCGCCGACCTCTTCATCGCAGGCCCCAACTACGGCACTAACCTTGGCCCCTTCGTCATGGCCCTCAGCGGCACCGTCGGCTCAACCTTCGCCGCCATCTCGCGCTCCATCCCCGGCATCGCCACAAGCGCCAGCAACAGAGCAGTCCCCTACTTCAATGTGACCGGGCCCTCGCACCCAGCCGTCCTCGCCGCCAAGGCATCCTTCGGCATTGTCAACGAATTCATCAAGAACACGCCTACAGGCCAAAAAGTGCTCCCGCTAGGCTACGGCGTCAACGTCAACATCCCCGAACTCACCAATGCTACAAGCTCACCTCCCGTGTTCAAGACCCGCCTCACGGGAAACGCGAACACGGATGTTGCAGTCTACAACGAAACCACCGGTCTCTTCACCTGGGATAACGTCAATCCCCTTGCTGCAGGCATCAACGCCCAGTACAACGGCGACACCAGCCTTCCTGATGAGACGTGGGTTGTTGCCGGTGGCGGCATCAGCGTCAGCGCGTTTACGATGGATTGGTCGGCCCCGGTGTCTGGGTACACGGATGCGGTTTATGAGAAGGCGAGTGCGCTATTTAGCAGTGGAAGTGGCAATGCGACGGGCTATAGTAAGAGGATGGTTGAGGAGAGGATGAGGAAACGGGGGGCGATGCTGAGTGGACGGGATGGAGGGGCTTAGATACGTCAAAGTACTTGCCCTATCCATACGTACGATAATTTATATATACGTAGTAATGACTAGACGACTAGGATGGAGAGTGAGTCCATACCTCGTTTCTCGCTTCCGGTAAACATCAATGAGTAGAATCTCTAATGCTTCCACTTAAACATCTTGTATCATACATCTCCTGCGCTTTTCTCCTTCTAAACATTTATCTAGTTTATAAGGGCCGTTATTTTCTCGAACTCAAGCCTTCCCGCCAAGATCCACACAACGCATTACCACCTCAACCTCCCCCAAACCTGACGGGTCTGACAGTGCGGAATAGTTTCAGCACGCCCCAGCAGCGGGCAACTTTGCCTTTCTCGGCCATGAAGGAAGCGATTGGCGACACATCGCGTTTGCGCCCCTCCACCCAGGCGCCCGCTCTGCCATTTCCAATGGTAAATTTTTCCGAATGGTGGAGTTAAGTGGGTGGTGTTCGGTGCAGGCTCTAGTCAGCCCGTTTCCCGAGGCGGCGAGGCGAAGGGGTGTTAGAGATTGTGTTTTGTGTCAGGCGCGCTTAGGCGGCGACGGCGGCAAGCGGCATTGAAGGAAGAGAAGCCTGAGGAAAGTAGGTTCCTGCGTGTGTGTGTGAGAGAGAGAAGGGGGTGTTTGGACGGCGTACAAAAACGCATGAAGAATCCCTCGTTCTTAAGTTTTCTTTGTTATCGCTCAAGCATCTTTTCCTTCTTTCTTGGTTAAACGAAATCGGCTTGAGGCTTGATTGTTTGTTTCTTATTTACCTTTTTTTGGTCATTGAGAGGTTCAGCTGTGCTGTCTATATTTTTTTTCTCTATTTCTCAGATACAGATACCTTTTTTCGCCAGTTCACATATTTTCAACATGTATTTCGCACCTCTCGCTATCCTATCTCTCAGCGCGCTCAGCTTCGCTGCACCTGTAGTCGTACCGCGACAAGCTGGGCCCGTACTCAAGGACACAACATACAATGCCATCTCCATCTCCGGTGGCCAAGCCGGAAATGCAAAAGCAGAAGCATCAGCCCTCTTTTCCGCACTCGACCTTCAGAACCCGGAGAATATCGATCAGGCGGATTTGACCTTTTTGAACGAGGTCAACCAAGTTGCGAATGATGCCGAGACAAAGGCGTTTAACCCAGCAGTTGAGGCTGCGAGTGGAACCGAGGCGACACAGATTCAGGTAGGTTATATTACCCTTCTTTCTCTTTCCCTCTTCGTGGGTCTTCTCGGTTGAGTTTTTTTTTTCATGCTAATACCCAACTAGAATGGCAAAATCAAGAACAAGGTCCTCAAACTCATGGCCACTGTAATCAAGCTGCAAGCGCAGCAAGCACAGGGCGATGATGTAGCAGCCAAACTTGCGGAAGAGACCAAGAAGCTGAACACTAATGTTGCGCTGGATACGGCGGCAGCAGGTCAGGTTTCCATCGCTGAACCATTTGACGCCAAGATTTCTGGAAGTGGATGAAAGAAAGCACGAGTTACATATGCATAGGTGCTAGGGGTGTCGAGTCAACGATATCAGGGTATATATATAGAACAATCCACACACTTTTTGACCTCACAATTTTGCCTTTACAGGCGCAAAAGTGCTTCCCTGTCCACCACCCAATGCCTGCACCAGCTCATCCACCTTTTCCAACACCCATGTGCATCCCTCGTCGCTCACCAGCCACTTGATTCCTTCTTCCTCGCCCGCTTCGGGTTCTTGCTTCCAAGTTCCGTCTTCCCATGATTTTCTTAGTCCGAAAACGTGACTGAGTACTTGTGGACCGACACCCTGCTGCGCCCTCAAGCATGTGATTGCGATTAAGCTCGTTGTGATGCGTCCCACTGTTGCGCCTTGGTTGCGAGGTGGATCAGTGAAGAGACCACCGTACTCGCTGTTTATGATGAAGACGGGTAGATCCGGGTGCGCTTCTCCGAGTTTCTGTTCAAGTTTTGTTTCCAGAGGACGGTAGATGGCATTCCAGAGTTCGCGACCGCGCTTGTTTATTTGCTCAACATTGGAGGGGTGGGGGAAGCGTGTAGGTGTTTTGTTCAGCGATGATGCAACCGAGGATGGGAGAGATGCACGGAAGGCGTTTAGCATGTTGATTGTGCGGGGAATCTATGGGGTGTCAACATGTTTTCTTTTGAGCGTGGAGTAGACTACTCACGCCATTGAAACCAATACACTTGAGACCGATTTCGCGCATAAATTCTGCGATCGCGACGCTTTCGCTTTCTGGGCGCGATTTGCTCGAGCTGTGGTAGAGGGCAATCATGGATTCAGGCGAGTTCATGGTCATTGTTGCGGCTGTGGATATGCTGAGCCATGACGGGCGTCCCAGCTTGTGCTCTGTGGCTTCTTTTTCTATCCGGTTGTAGATCCCTTGGATTCCTGCGGGCGCTGGCACGGGACCTGGGCGCGAGTGTGCGGCGTTGATGAGTGACTTGAGGGATGGCGATAGCTTGGACATGGTGTGCAATGTTAGAGCTGGAAGTAAAGTCAGTCGCCGAAACAAGAGTCTAATGCCCAAAGGCAAGAAGGCGGCAAGAGGTTCAATTCTAAGCGACTGCGTGGAGTAAAGAATGTGGTAGTGGATGCGCATGTATATGTATGTACAAACGTGAACATACGATGACGCGACTTCCCGAGGCTGTTCCGAGGCACAAATTCGGTGGTTTTTCAGGGTCCGACGGCGCTGCATCACTAAAACACCTGATCCGACCTTCACCTTGACCACACTGCGCGCTCATGTTAAGCTAACTTTATCATGACGCTTGCAACTCCGATCATGCATTTTTCGGCTGCTGACAGGTCGATGCGGACGTCGAGGATATTGATTGGTCGTGTTCGCCAAGTCTTCAGCTGAGCAGATGGAATCAGGCAGCTCGAACGTCGGCTACTTCGAAGAGTACCAGTCTAACTCACAGTCAGAAGCCCTCAACTTCTGACTCCGATGCATTTTTTTCTTTCTATTGCCACCTGTTCTCAAGATTTCCCTCCAGCCTAGCATGGGTAGTCCAACCGTCAACCTGACGGTCCCTCGCCGTGGTTTCATTGACGTTAGTTCTTCAACATACCCATCGCCCTCAGAGCCCTCGGCATACTATGGTGCGCTTCAGGTATCTGATAGAAGCTCATCCATAGAGCCAGTTTATCATAAACTCACTCCGGAAAATCGCGAGATACGGCTTCTGAGCATTTTGCCTGGAATCAAAGACCACTCACAGCCTGTACACTGCCGCCTACAAATATACTCTCTCAATGATCTTAATTCAGATTACCTGAGATTTATCCATGATTCTGCCGCGCCCACCACACAAAACTGGACAAGTAGTCGGCTTTCCCCGCAGCTAGCCAATCTAGCCCCTCTAAAACGGATGCACAGTACTCGGCCGAGCCCCAGTCTCTATCGCTTCAACTGGGGAGATTTTGCTGCCCTTTCATATGTTTGGGGGAACCAGGATAATAAACGAACCATATTGCTCAATGGCCACAAAACATCCGTGACTGCCAACCTGGAAGCGGCTCTACGCATGTTTCAAAGCGGATGTGAATTCAACGACAGTTTCAAGCTATGGGTTGACGCGCTTTGTATCAACCAGGACGACCTCGACGAGCGATCATCTCAGATCAAGATGATGCGCGACATCTACGGAAGTGCATGGTCAGTCATATCGTGGCTAGGAGAGGAAAGCAATTCAAGCAGTGCGGCGATACAGCTTGTACGTGATCTTGCAGAGATCAAGGCGAGCGGATCTATTGCTGAATTCGCTGCTCAGTTGGAGGCAGATCCAAGTTTTTATGGCGGAACCCATTGGATAGGACTTCAAGATCTGATGGATCGCCCATACTGGTTCCGGCTGTGGATCATCCAAGAGGTGATTGTTGGCTCCGCAGCGACTTGGATCAGATGCGGCCAACACACAATAGCATGGGAAACCTTTTGTGATGGAATCGCTGTCCTTCAAGAGTACCTTTGGCTCGTAAAAGACGAATGTCTTCAAATGGCCGTCCTCGACACTGGCCTCTACACGCAGCATATATGGCGAACCAGTAGCTTGCATCTTGTATACCAAGACCTCGCCGTTCTCAGCAAACAATTTGCGCAAAAGATATCAGACTTCAATTTTGAAAGGTTGCTGGATCTTGCAAACTCGGGTGAATGTACAGATCAGAGAGATAAGGTGTATGCCTTGGTTGGTTTGATGCCCCCTGCTGTCGCAACTATTTTGAATCCAGACTATACATTGCCTGAATGGAAGGTGTATAGCGAGGCAGCCAGGGCCTTTATACAATTCGATGACAGTTTGGACGCCCTTCGAGAAGGAAATCCTTGGGGTCATGCTCGAGGTCTTTCGTGGGCAGCGGATTGGTCGTGGCCGGGTAGGATCAGATGGACACGCCACGATCAACAGATTTGGGGCCCTGCATACCTGTTTTCGCGGGATGCTACATGTAGGCACAATTCGGCATATCATGCAAGCGGTGACCGGAAGCACGATGCGTCATTTGACGACGGCGGACTACTGTTACGATGTACGGGCATTATTGTCGACACCGTCACTGGTCTATCGGCTCGCGGAACAGGGTATTTTTCTCGCTGTGAAAAGAGCATCGTGTTTCCCGAGAATTGGAAGAGTGTGTACGGCGATCGTAACGCGACTGCAGAGGCTTTGTATCGTACCCTGATTTGCGACAGAGTTGCATACGGTCACCGATCCGGGCCCCAGCATTCTGCCATTTTCCATCTTCCGTCTACCTTCGCTCTCGGGGGTCCACAATTCAAGGAGAGAGGATGGAAATTTTTAGCCGGCCAGGAAGGATATTACTTTCGCTGGGAACAGTTTCGAACTGGCATGCGGAACTTTCCACTTGGCGACTACCGATTTGATGATTTTTTCTCAGAGGAGATTCCGGCAGGTGCTTCTGAATTTGTCCACACTGAAGTATACTCTTGTTTTGATCGCAGCTGCAAGAAACGACGATTCATGACCACAGAAAAGGGCTATCTGGGATGGGCGCCGGATAACATCTACGGTGGGTCCAACGAACAAACACAGAAAGGAGATCTCGTTGCTATCGTTTTTGGATGTAGTACACCGCTCGTTATACGCCCTCGTGGTGAATACTACCTGGTTTTGGGCGAGGCTTATGTACAAGACCTCATGGATGGTGAGGTAATTGCAGCTTTAGAATCCGGAAAGTATACGACCCAGAGTTTTGCTTTTTGTTAATGAAGAGGTCATTGGAACAGTCGATTGAAATCTGCTTGACTTTGGAGATCAGACGCGTCATCACTAAGTAAATCAAATCGATCGAGGTTATATGGTTCGGTAATTGGAATCAAAATACTGGTCAGCTCACTGTGACTTGTACCGTGAAGACTATAAGCGTCTAGATAATACTCAACGAAATAGGAGGACTTATATGCTCTTGAACTATCTCCCGGATCCCTCGGATCTTCTGGAAACATATCAACTAACAAATGATAAATTGCGGTCGACGTTTGACTCTGCGACGCTTCTCTTTGCAACTGGCCACCGTGGTAATGAATAGATGCTGAGCTGAGGAATCCATGGTCTTCCAAACCCAAGGAGATAACAATCATATACTCGAAACGGAAGATTGGTGCAAAAACACTGCACAAAGTCCATGGCGTCAAATAATAGGAAGGAAGCAGATTGCTGTTGAGGCGAAACCAATATTGAAGGATCAATACTCATTGCATTAGCACAAGTACATCTTCCAGCAACCTGGTTTAAATTATCAGGATGAATGTCTGCGTAAGTCCAACTGAAAGTACTTTGTAGAATTCAGCCGGCTAAAATGTACAAGGAAATAGGGTTATAGCCGGTGAAGGCTTGTCCATCACCGATCGTTCCCGCTAATCATCTTGGAGAAAGCTTGATTTTATCCCCACCCATCTCCCGTTTTACCCCAGCGTTTGACCCGTGACGGCCCAATATTAGATCGCTAATATGAGATTACCGAGGATTTAGGTGCACAACCACTCCCCACAGCCTGAAGAGAAACGAGCTTGTTCTCACTTTATCCTAGCTTCCGAGGCCTCCGTGGCAATCGGATAAATCAGAGAACACGCTGATCATCATGTCGTCATGTACGGATGGAGCTCTCTGTATATCGGTTGAAGTCGAAATGTAAGGAATGAATAAAAGGAGATGGATGCAGCACTCGATATTGCCATCCTCTTGCACACCTGCAGTGGCCATGTCTGTCCTTCTTTTTTTCATCGCTGTAGGCAGTGTGACTGCTCAACCGTTTCCGCAACTGTATCCGCAGCCATGGGTGTACACCCAAAAGGAACCGCCTGTCCAAGTCACTGTTGATGCGACAGTCAGATATCAGACTATGATCGGTGGTGGTTGCTCAGGAGCCTTCAACGTCGCATGCGACCAGACCGGGTCTAAAGGTCTTTCGCCTTCGAACCAACAGCTGGTCAGCGACTATCTTTTCAGTGAGAATATCGGAGGCCTCTCAATCCTTCGTAACCGTGTTGGATCAAGCCTTACAGATGGTATTCTCGGTAGCTGTCCGGCAACACCATCCTCCACATTCAATTATACTGGGTTAGGAGCGAACGATGCCACTGCCGATAGCTGCCAACTGAAGCTATCCCAACAGGCCCTTAAAGCCAACCCGAACCTATTCATTTATGCGGATGCGTGGTCAGCTCCAGGTTGCTTCAAAACGGGTGCCACGGACATCAACGGCGGTCTTATCTGCGGTGTACGAGGGACCAACTGTACTCATGACTGGCGTCAAGCATATGCCGATTACCTTGTAAAATACGTCAAGTTATACGAGGAAAAAGGCATCAACGTGAGCATGATTGGTGCGTACAATGAGCCAGACTTCAATCCTGTATACTATGCCAGCATGGACACGGATGGATACCAGGCCAAGGACTTCCTACAATATCTATACCCGACTGTCAAGAAGTATCGAAAAGACCTGCAAGTGTCCTGCTGCGATGCTACAGGCGCGCGCCAAGAACGCACGCTGCTGTATGAGCTGGAGCAAGCTGGTGGCGGAAAGTTGTACGATGTCGCTACTTGGCACAACTACCAGAGTATGCCCGAGATGCCGTTCAATACTCAGGGTCAGCCGAACTTGGAAACGGAGTGGTCAGATGGAAGCGGCAATTTCAATACTACGTGGGATACCACTGGGCAGCTTGCTGAAGGACTCCAATGGGCTATCTACATGTAAGTCACAGTGTTTCTATCAATCAGTAAATGAAAACTTATAGCACAACAGGCACCAAGCTTTTGTCCTAAGCCACACATCTGGATACCTCCACTGGTGGTGCGCCCAAGATAACCCGGGCAACACATCCGGCAGTGACGCCATTCTCGTCCGTCTCCAAGGCAATACGTTTGAAGTTTCTCGCCGACTCTGGGCCTTTGCAGGTTACTTCCGTTTCGCACGCCCGGGTTCCGTACGCATTGCCGCGCGCAGTCCTGCTGAAAACTTGAAAGTGACGGCTTTTGAAAATGCCAATGGGACGCTTGCGATTCCTGTTATCAACGAAGCGCACTACGAGAGGCAGGTTCATGTTAGTTTGAATGGTAGTCCGAAGGCATTTGCGAAGGCGACGGCGTATTTGGCGGATAATACGCATAATAACACGATGGTGGGGAGTGTGAATGTTCAGGGAAAGAGTTTTACGGCGAGTGTGAAGCCAAGGAGTTTGACGACGTTCTTCTTGGAGTAGATTTTGAGTTAGTTGATGTTAGTTCATTTGTATAGTCTAAGATACAACATTTTATGACTTCCTCCAGACTCTGTCAATCCTATGGAGTATACAACTAAAATATTGAAATCTTCAGTGCTGTGTTTCTGTGTGCCAAAATAATGACATCTTTTCCCAGTTTCATGATGTTTCTTTCTCATCTCTTGGCGGTTTGCTTGATATGAGTTTTGACTGTAGTGAAAGCCCTATGTGCCCAAGTGGTGCACCGTTTGCATCTGCTTAAATCTCTGCTACGTCATATAAAATCTCACGTAACTGCTGCCTAAACCCTTTAATTCCATTCACGCGTTTGTCACGAAAAGGCTAGTCGCAAGTGTTGTCAAACAACGCGTCAGTACTCTCAGTCGGTCTCGTCCAGTACAACCACACACCCTACCTGTCACTCTTTTAGCCTTTCCGTGCCTCCCAAACCATCCAATGCACACTCCCAGTATCTCTGCGCACACCATGAACCCCCATACCCCCTCCCTCAACACCTCAACCCTCACCTCCCCACCCTCCATCCAAATCCCCTTCACCGTCCCCCTCGGCTTCGCCGCCCAACTCCGCGTCCTCCACCAAATCCAACTTGACCACTCCCTCCGCATCCTCGCCCTAGAATCCGAAAACTCCTCCCTCAAAACCCTCACCACAGACCTCACCTCACGCATCGAAGCCCTAGAAGCCCACAACGCACACCTCGCTGCCCGCCGCCGCGAACTCGTCTCGCAGCTCAACAACCTGCGCACGCTGAATCAGGAGGCGGACAACGCGTTTCAGATGCGTAGCGCGGATATTCAAGGGGGGGACCTGGAGGGCATGTTGGCGGTGCATAGTGCCATGGTGGCGACGGCGGTGAATCATCACCAGAGGGCGCTGGCGCAGTTGAGGGCGGGTATGCAGGGTGGCGTGGCGGTGTATGGGCAGCAGGGTCAGGGTGGGGTGAGGTATGCGTATCCGCCTGGATATTCGGAGCTAGGGTATTGTTTTCAGCATAATATGCCGTATTGCTGTCAGGTTTGTGGCAAGTGATGGAGGTGAATGAGTTTGGTGTATGATTCGGGTTTTGCAGGGTTTGTAAGTGGAGTTTGGGGAGCCCGGGGTGCTTGATAGACTTCGGGTTTGGCTTCTCTGTGCTCGAGTTTGATTTCTTTGGTGGAGTTGGGGTGCTACGAAGGTTTTTGTGAAGGTGTACGATGCCTGCTTGGCTGGAGTCATGGGTGCTGGAGTGATGGAGTGTTCTTGACACCATTGCATGCTTTTTTTGAGCTTTCGCGTGGTTTTGAGCTTGATATTGAAATGCTTGTTCACTGTTTGGCATCTGCAGTTTCGGGGAGTTGGGAGCAAATCTTGTAGTGCAGATGTATCAACAGTGTATTTGATATGTGCATGATATAGAAGTATTGAACACTCACATATTCTCTGTTCTGGATGTAAACCGGAATGAAGTGCTATCGGACTACATTTTCTTCAAAATTTAAGTGAACAAAAAAGACACACAACTCGACATTAATTGATCTCACATACATTCGTGTAGTCAAGGAAACATCATACCAACAACTGCTTATAGTTTCAGCTTAAAGACCAAACTCCCATGTCTCCTTCTCAGCGGTGCTCTCCAATAATAATCTCAGCCGCCCTCTCCGCAATCCCATAAACCGCAGTCTGAATATGCGCCGAAACAATCATCGGAATGACGCTCGCATCTACGACTCTCAAATTCCTGACCCCATACACTCTAAGCTGCGGATCCACCACACCGCCATCCTTCTTCGGCAACATAGCACACGTACCAAGCGGGTGATAAAAGGTAAATACGTTATTCCGAATATACATCTCCCACTCCTCATCCGTCTGGGTGCTCAACCCAGGATCAAACTCAGAAATCCAGAGGTCTTTAAACGGTGCCGTATTCGCCATTTTGCGCGTGTACTTTGCTGCGGATACAAGGGCTTCAATATCATACTGTGTCCCCAAATACCTCGGATCGATAAGAGGCTTGTTCGCAGGGTCCGAGCCGTTGATATGTACGGATCCTCTAGCAAGCGGGTGCTGGACGCCTGCAAGGAGTGTAGCGTATTGCTTGCCGTAGCCGGCTGTTCCGTTCTTCGGGTACCCGGTTGTTCCTATGTAGCCGTCTCCGAAGACGACTTCGAGATCTGGGGCTCCGGAATCGGGATCGGTTAGGAGGGCGAGTTTCTTTCGGTCGATGAGGTTGGATGTGTTGGCGGATGATTTGGCGAGTTGGAATAGGTTTTTGTCGCTGGCGAGTGCTTCGTTCCATTTTAGAAAGCCGTAGCAGCTGCCTGCGTATTGGTAGAGAGAGGTCTTATTTTGCCTCCATAGATCCAACTCTATGGCTGCTCGTGTTGCGTTGTATTTGAGAATGTCCACGCCAGGAACCTCGGGCTTCAACTCATACGTTGTTTGGATACGGAGGTGGTCCTGAAGATTCTCGCCTACACCAGGAAGGTTGACGAGTTGTTTGATGCCGGCCTTTTCTAGTATGGTTTTCTGGCCAACACCGGAAAGTTCTAGTATTTTGGGGGACAGCAGGCTACCAGCTGAAAGAATGACTTCCTCGGTGGCTTTGACAACGATACCGTCTGAAAGGATGACACCAATTGCTTTAGAGCCATCCTTCGCGAGCTGCACTTTGTGGACAGTAGTATTGAACAGGAACACCAAATTATTTCCAGCTGCAGGGAGATAGTCTATCGAGTAAGACCGTGTATGGTTAGACACACGATATGTTGCTGGTTGATACATAGTACCCAAGTTGTTCCCATTCAATGATTTCAAGTTCTCCTTCACCCCAAGATTGGTCAAAGTTGGTATACAAGCCTGCAGATGAGGTGGTGGATCCTCAGTCAAAGCGACCTGGATCGGGCCACCGTAGCCCACGCCGTCTTCGCCATATTGTGGCGAGCCGTTTTGACGCTGGAAGTTTTCCGTCTTGAGCATCGCAGGATACATGTTACTCCACCCCCAGCCTGGGTTGCCCAGCTCTTCCCAAGCATCATACTCTTTGACGCTAGCGCGGTTCCAAACAAGAAGATTGAGGGCAGAAGTGCCACCGAGAACTTTTCCCCGGTTATGTCCAATGGTCCGGTTGTTTGCTGCAGTCTGAGGTACAGTTGGAAGACTCCAGTCATATGCGGAGCCAAAGGTAGAACCTCTTAGCCCTGGAATGTAGATTTTCTCTTCATTACGGCCATCTGGTCCGGCCTCAATGACTAATATGCAGTGTTCCGGAAGGCCTTCACTGAGTCGAGTGGCTAATGCGATACCAGCCGTCCCGCCGCCGACAACAATCTGTAGCAAATATGAGCCTTAAATCCTTGCTGGCTCGGCTTGCAACCGTACGTACAAAATCGAACTCACTAGCTCGCGCCGAACATTGCGTGGCATTGGCTGAGAATACTAGGCTCAGCCCAGCGACGAGACTCAAGACCGGCGTGGAAAACATTACCGATTGAACCTACATGTGCCAGAGAACCTTCTCTGAACAAGTATCCAAGAGAATGCGAGGGGTCGCATGAAAGTGCGTACAAGGATGGCGATCTGGGTGATTTGGGGACGCTGCTTAGATTACCGCAGGACCGGGAGTAACCAACAAAGGCAAGTGAAGGATGAACAAGATATGCGCCATGGTGACACGGTAATTTAGCCCCCACGGCTGCTTGATCACTGTTGGGAGAAGCCTCTTCCGTGCTCCATATTGAAGCCGTCACTCGAGATTTATGTATTGAAAAGTCACAACCAGATAATGACCACTCAATGAATCGATTTTCTTGGGGAACTCCTCTTCATCAGCTTGTATCTAGAACTCTGCGTTAACAGCATCAGCGGAACACTTGCATATAGCCTAATGCCGGTAGTTATAGCCAAGGCGGAACAACTACTAGAGTTGTAGTTCAACGCTTCACCGACTAGGCTCGACTCGTCAAAACCTTGCCGTACCTCTGGTAAATCTCCAGTTGTTCGCGAAAAGGCCGAGTGGTGATAGATGTTCCGATTTTTTTTACTACCATTGCGTTTGCTGCAGTCATATGGAGTTGGTGCGCGCGGCACCTTCCGTTGTGCGTTGACTGCAGTAAGTGTTTTGGATGTCTGCTATTCTCGCGTATCAAAAGTCGAACGGATGGCGTCATCATGATTAGCCTGCGTTTAAATTCAGCATCGTTGAGTTGAGGCTGTTAGCTTTTGTTAGTGATTGAAGTGCGCATCGGATCAAGCTATGTGTACAAGACGGGTGCGATATGAATTACCTGCTTTGGAATTGGCCGTGATCCGATTTATGTCGCTTGCCCCACCCGACGAGCTAGCCTTTTTGAGTCATCAGATGCTCCGGGCCAGTCGACAGCCGTCGCCCGTCAGCCACATCAGTTTGAGCACCGTCGGATCGGAAGACATCCGACACAATCATAGTGCAACTTGAAGATGAAGCGTAACGCACAACCACAGATAACGCGAAAGCTTGCATGCCATAGAGACATATGATCGCACCGGCCTACAGCTTCACAATATCGCAAATGGGACCATAACATAATATTCCTAATAGTGATACCCTAGTTACATGGAAACAGCCTGAAGTTTTTTGAAGATGTTCTTCCATAAGTAGAGTGCTGACACAAGCTTTTGGCAACCAGTTCAAGAGGCTCAGTCTGAATAGTAAAGATGGTAATCATCGTCGCTGATAATGTCCCTACAGTTGGTCGGACCACCATCCCACCCATCATCATCGTCATTGTTATAGTAGGAGTAGAAGTACTCAGTGAAATTACTGCGAGGCACATAATTCCACTGATTCAAAAACTTGTTCTGCTCATAGCTCCACGGTGCCATTACCTTAGTGGGATTATGAGGCTGGTAGTCCAATCTTAGAGACATCGCGACGCGCTTTTGAGATTCCTTACGGACCAGGCGTTTCCACTGACGGGTCCGATGCGTCCAAAATTCCTTCCGTAGATGAGGAAGGTACTGGACATCCCCAACACAGTAGGATGCTATATCCTCAGGAATCGGACGCTGGTTGAACACGTCATACGAGCCGCCATATTCAGCCTTGTACAAGCGCTCGCCTTTATCCTTAGCTAGCTTCCATCTAGATAGTGTGCTACTATCAAGGGATGTCGGCAGATTTTTCTCAAGACATTTGGTTAGGCCGTTCAAGAACTTTCGGGATGCGGTAGTCTTCCTTGTTGCACTCTCCATAAGCTGGACATCCTCGACCCCCTGCAGTGCCACACCGTAATGCGCAAATAGCGCATCTGAATCATTACGAACGTCGAAAAAGACCTTTGGGATCTTTTCGTCCTGAAGGATATCTTTCAGCGTTGGTTGTCCAGGACAGGCAGTGTTGAACGCTTCTGCACCTAGTGTATGCACGTCGATGAGATAGACACGCGTGCGGAGGGCAACGATATCCAATAGAAGGGTGAGTATGGAAACGGATCCCTCACGACAGAGGTTTACGCCTTCGAGGTCTATGTATATGTTTGGCGAGCCTGGATCTAGCCCTACAAAGGTGACGAGCCAGTCGACCATTTCACCGATTCCCTGCGTAGTGTTTACGATCTCTGGCTCGATTTCCTTCATAATCAGTATGTAGACTTTGCCTTGTCGAAATTGTACAGATTTGAAGAGGGAGGTAAGACTTGGTCGGAAATTATTGTATGTTGCAGCTTTTGAGAGTCCGTAGAAGTAATGACTTTAGCTGAGCCCGAAGCAATAGATATAATTGCACCGCAGATAGTTAAATGAAAACAATAGATAGCAGAGATAAGAAACATACACGTCTTTCCTACCAGATCACCCCAAGCCTACACGTGCGACTGCAAACCTACGTCAGGGGCGTGGAAAGTGGTGCGGGGTTTCTTGGCATGCCATGTAATCATGCAGTGGCAGCTCTCTGGCCAAGGGCTATCGCAGATGTCTACAGGTGCAGGTACCCTACAGTTGCTTATCGTTGTGCACAGATAGCCTATAGAAAGGAACATTCACTGTTTGGTAAGTATAAGTGCAATGCCGACTAGCCGATAGTCACTCGCGGGTGCAACCAACCGACAACCATCAGCATTCAACCACGATAAATGTCAAATCTGTCAGTTGAGAAGACGTCTAGCAAAACATGTGACGCCAATCAAACTGCTATCGCAGGTGTCCGCACTGAACATGTGCAGAGAGTATACATCATCGCAGACTTGCTCTAACTCCTCCTCCAACGGTCTTGAAGCAGAATTGCTAGCTATCCGTCAGTTCTTGACAGCGATGCGCATATTTTGTGCTGCGTTCTCTGCTGTTATGCCCAAGTTGCCGGGTTCAAACTTGGACGCATCGCCTGTCGCCAGCTCGCCCTTTCACTGTCCGTGTATGGCTTTCCATGATGAAAAGTACAACAGCCAAGAAGGCTAAGTTCAGAATTCTATCAGGGGCTGTTGTAGAGATAGAGAGCCTAAATTAGACCAGGAGCGTATGCAGTGATATGCCTCCCAGTCGATCCAAAGGATCACAGCGACAAACATGCAGATCTTGTAAGGAAATACCCTGCGACTGGCAGGAGATCGCCTGTACCTACCGCAGATCGCAAGTAAGTACATTTTCATTACAATTCCAAAATGCTCCTAACCATCCACACAGTCTTCCTATAAATTATGAAACATAAACCTCCTCTCCCACCACACCCAGCTTCAGGAGCAAACTTTATAACATATAATCACTAAAATAGTATGGTCATATAAAACTTAAATATCAACCATCACATCGCCCAGCCTCCCAATGATGCAGTTCACGGAAACCAAGCATTCTTATCCCCGCCCAATACGACTCCCAACATATACGACTCCCCTGTTTATTATTAAGACAAGGTCGATCTATAACCAGCACAGCCGTATTCCCTGCCCGAAAATCCAAAACCAGCCAACTAGCACGCGCTACTGACTTTTTATGCAACAAATACGAGCAAGCGCCACTCCCAAATTGAGCATGTACGGGCGACCCCCCACCACCACGCGATCGAGTCCAGAAAGTTCTGTTGTGTACAACCTTGAGGAAAGAACGGAAAACGAGACATTGAATATCTACATTTCTTTGCATCATTGTTTTATGGACTGGGCCGGTCAAGCCGGGCATAAAGGAAACTTGCTTCGAAACAATATCGTTTCAAGTTTGTATTCTGCCCTGAGGCGCGACGGGGGGACGAGCGTATAGCCATTTTCTTATTCTTCTCGGCAGTAGAAGTTAGAGTTTATAAGGTTCAAAGGAATGTGAGGCGTACTGCGGGGAGGGCAGAGAGGGGGGCGTCGACGATTTACAGGGGGGCTGGTCGGGGATGGAGCGATGGGTTTGGGGATCGTAAGTAAGCAGAGCGGTGAAAGTTAATAAGTCGTCCGAGTTGCGCTACAGTGGAGAAGGTCGGAGTATTAGATGTGTATTGCTTGACATCTCGCGATTATCTGGAGTGAAATATTAAATGATCGCATGGTTCGATCTCTAAGGATGCAGAAAGAAACGCAGACTATTAAGTGGTGTTAAGCTTTTGCTTGAATGTGCAAAATGCCCGCATATGCACTAGGTATCCTAGTATATGTGGTACTTGGAACGTAAATATCGACAAAGAAGTAAAAGTAGAACCGGATGAAACAATTGATTTTGTACGTTATTCCTTGCGGGCTTGCTTGTCCCGCGACTTTTGCGATTGAGGCCGCACCTCTACATGCATAGTCGAGAACAATTCATTTTTGCCCGGCTGAGTAAGATATCCACTATCATACGGACTGCTGTTCCCTTCAGACTCCACTCTTGTCAAGCCCTTGGTGCTATCCACACTCTTCAATGACGCTGCCCTCGTGAGTTCGATATGGTCCTGGGTAACGCTATCGAGGCGCTCGTGAGACGTGACGCGGACTTCATTGGTGATAAAGATGTGCCCCCAGTTTGCGATGACGGTAGGCCAAAATATGGGCATCGAGGCGCACATGATTGCGAAACTAACTTCGAGGAAGGAGATGATGATGGCTTCAGGGTACCACCTGTACAATCCAGCGTTAGCGAGGGTCCCATTTCAGAGTGGTGTATGATAAAAGAATCAGTTTCTTACCAAACAAAATCGAAACTCTGAATCGAATCCTTGTTATGCCTGAACGTAGCCCAGAGGCGCAGAATCGACATCAAAACAGCACTGTAGAAAGAGAGTCAGCTAGCATCGCAGCAAACCAGGTCGATGTACTGACATAGCACCAAACATAAACAGTCCCGTCATAGCGATAGCCTCCTTGCGCCTCAGATTATTCCGAAAATACTCAGTGAGTGGAATAGCAAAAATGATCAAATCAAACATCATATTTGTCCCCGCAAAAGCAAGCACCGACGCTTTTGCCTCGCCCACCGAACGGTATCCATACCCATAGCACGTTGAACCCTTCGACCTTGTCCAAAAAGCAGTAACAGGGAAGCACGGGAACCAAGCCATGAATAGGAAGACTAGCGACCACACAGTGACGAGCCCAAGCACAACCTTGCACACGATGCGGCGCCTGCCGTTGCGGAACATGCGCAGATACTGGAGGAGAAGCGAGATTTTGATGCAAACGGTAGTGGCGTGGTTCGTGGCATTGTTGACGTAGATGGCGATCATGGTTGGTTGGAGCACGGGGATAACGTAGATGAGGTGACTACCCATGCCGTAGTTTAGGCCTGTAGAAATGGTCAGAGAAGTTTCCTTTAGAGGAAGACCGAGTGGGATATATATACTAAGCAGGAATGCAATAAGCGCAGCGAGATTGAACAGCGCTGCCAGGACGACAAAGAGGTCATCGAGACCAGGCTCGCGGACCACACGTAGACGTGTGTGAAGACGACCTGCGACAAAAACCCAGCAGAGGACCTGTCAATGTTTAGTTCGGCTGTCGGTGTCTCATCATAGGGGGTGGTGTAAACGGTACCTGCAGCGGGATAGTGATACCATATATCGTTCCTTTGCGATTCCACACGGGAATACGCTGATTAGGGTCCGGGGGATTCTGGAACAGCTTTATCATGATGGATGTGAACTCATCCTTCGTCTCAGGCGCGTTTTCTGCCATAACGATCCAGTGACGTTGGAAGAGCCAGAGATAGAGGTGTGGTCCGCCAGCGGATGGAGTCGGTGATGATTACAGTTTAGAAGTACTTTAGAGCGAATCAGCCTCTAGAATATGCACCTCGTCCCTTCTTTACACTACGCGGCTCCAGATGCTTGTTCACCCAGTTTCAGGAAACAAGTCTTGGAGCGGGGGTAAGCGATGAGATCCATGTAACCCGAGCCGTGATGAAGGTCGTGGCTGTCCATGTGATCCGCGACAGGGCCGAAGGAATACTTATCAGTGGAACAAGTCCCAGAGATATATCGCAAATGGTCATTTAGCCGTTCGGCGCAGGCGAACATCATGATGTTAGACCGGGGTGGCTTGCCTTGTAAGGGCGCCAGTGCAGCAGTGGTGCGACATGCACATTGCCGTACGATATAGTCTAGGCTGCTTCTTTCATGCTCAGAGTCAGGGCCATGATCTTCAGTTCGAAAATAAAATAAATTCGTTGTACTGATTGACAACGCTACGTTTTTGGTGGTACAGTAGTACTATTCTGTTAAATTTGGAATATGATCAATTCTCGTACAAGTCAAACCGACCGACCAAGCCTCCGAGCAGCTGCCAAGCACCTCTGCCGCTGTCAGAATGTTGGCAAAACGCAATAAGGCAATAGCTTTCTTTCTTCCTAAGCTAGAAGTTTTTTCTCGCCGCCACTACAAACTCTGTCTGGCTGAAACGCACGTGGAAGGCCCGTGTGGAGTACGCCCTACCTGCTAGGCCACCCCACAAAGATTTGGCTGGCATCTGATGCGCGAGTAATGCATTGGCCCAGGAAACTTTGTCGTGTGGGTCGCGGCTGTGAACGGAACATAAACGTCATTGCTATACGCCGTCAACGAGGATTATCGCCGTCTTACGCCATGCCAATCGTTGAGTTTGCGACTAGAATTCACCGCAGTGTCAGGAGTTTTGCCGTCAAATCAGCTCTCTCGCTCTCTAGCTCGCGCTCATGTCCGTGACAGTTGAGTCTAAAGATAATTAGGTAATCTTAGGCGTGTCCAGTTTGGGCAAGTCGTCGACCAGATTTGCCCGCACGGGGGTAAACGTCCACCGACTAGACTCTTCTCATCTTACCTTCAGCAGCCAGATAGCAGCCACCGCAAGCTAGAATACCCACATCCTTGCGAGTGACAGGACCCACTCTTCTAGCAAGGAACGCCTTGAAATGCAACAAAAACGCCAAAATAACTGATTGAAAATCCCACGTGCGTTTGCCCGTTTAGTCCTCCATCTTCATATCCTCGAAATCGTCAAGTAGCTGATCCATCGGAATCTGAATACCCTCGTCTTCGTCATCACCAAGGCTGCTCTCCGTTTCCATCGCGTCTGCATCGCGCTGCTGCTGGGCCTTGTAGAGTGCCATTGTCTGTCGCAGCTCTTGATCCTCCTCGACATCCTGCAAGAACATCTCAAAGTCGCGCTCCATTTTCTCCTGATCTTGCTTGCGAGGCAACATCTCGCCCTCCTCCTTGTGCATGCGCTTGACGCGCCAGTTGCGCTTGTTCTTGCTCTTCCGGGACCGCTGATAGTACTTCTTGACAAGGACTACATCTGGAATAGCCGATGCATACTTGTTGTTTTGTTCAAGGACATCGAAAAGATCGTTGTTGAAGTTTGTGTTGGCGAGCAGGTAACCCATTACCGAATCGCCAACGTGGAGAATACCACCGAGGTGTGTTCGGCAGTAATATGTTGTGTCATTGACACCCATATCGGACGCACGTGCTACGGTTGCTTCTGCAAGAAAATTGCGTCCGGATTGCTTACCCAAGGGCTCAATGTCCAAGACAACGAATTCCGTCAGCTCTTGCACGTCTGCCAATGGTCGGAACGGTGTCCGCCAATAGATATCGGTAGCAACATCGGCAGTTTGTAGTGTTGCTGGGTCAAGGAGCTGGACAGAGGTGCCAATGCGTGAGCAGAGTGTCAGAGGTGAGATATTGCCAATCTTCTTGGCCAGTGGGATGGGAAGTACGACAAGGTCATCTTTACAAATAGGTACAATCTCACATGAGAACGAGAACTTGTAGTTCTTCGTTGACGTGTGGATATCGTGTGAGATGAGTTCCTCGGACCTCTTGATGTTGACAGGGATGACGGCCTTCAAAAAGTCGCAAAAGGCGACTGCGTGATTTCTCTGTGCGAAGAAAAAGTCGATGCCGTCGTGTACTTCCTTAATATTGATGGTGTCTTTGTGTGCGCCGTGCTTCAAGATCAGCTGTTCCAAGTACAAGAAGGTCCTCTTGTGTGGCACCTTTTGCCGCACTTGTACACAGGCTCTCCATGTATTATGCGTATAGCTCTTTGCGCAGTCCGGGCACTGGTTGTAGTTTTGTGTGTATTCGACTTCAAAGGTCTGCTGCATGATGGCGCCCTCGTTCAGCTCCGACTGTACCGTGATCTTGACCTTTATCCTTCTGCTGTGCGGCTCCGTCCAGATGAAGCTCGCATCAATAATTCTCAGCTTGTTCAGTCCACGCAGTTTTCGGAGGCACAGAGCAAGGAGTTCGCGCGACTCTGGGGGCGCGACTACCCAAGTCGAGGGTGGGGAGAGCCATCGGTCGCAGTCACGGCACATGAGCAGAATGGCTTCACGCTGGATGCCGCCAGTGACATCGGTCTTGAGTTTTATACAGTCGTAGCAAAAGGCTCCAGATATGGTTCCATCGACGGGGGCGCCACAGTCGGCACAGAGAATTGTGGCCGCGTTCTTTGGTGCAGGCGCAAAGGACTGAGCGTCAGTCATTGTGCCGTCCATTTTGGCGAAGAGATGCGGCAGCAACAGTGTGGTCAGGGTGTTTGGAGTTACTCTGGCCGTAACAGAGGGAAAGGGTATGGGTATAAAACGGAGAGCAACAATCTGAGTGTTTATGAGTCGAAATGTGTGGCGAATTTGCTTGGAAATTCACCCTTCAACCAAGACCCCGCCAAAATTTCCTGCCCGCTGCGGGACTGATAAGATCTTATCATCACGTGAAAGACTATCGGCCAATGAGAAGACCAAATGCAGCGCCACAGCTGCCACAATCCTTTCGCATAGGCCGCAGGCACTAGCAGGGATTGGCAAAACATCCCATGTCATCGACAAATGTTACATCTTCAACGCCACCTTCGCTACAGCACGTCCATTGCACTTCAACATGTCGGTTTCGAGGGCCGTTTCTTCAAGGTTTGTTTGCAGTTCGTGTTTAAAGGCAAATGCACGTCCTTCACCTATAAAACCAAAGACCGATCGCATAACGTCCCGCGCCTCGCCTCTGAAACTTCCACAATGCGCATTCAGCACGAGCCTGTCTCGAAGATCGCAAAAGGACCGTCCTTCAGCTGAAGACCCTGAACTCGCTTTTCTAAACAATAACGAAAAACAAGCGACATCCAATTCCAACTCACACGACCCCGCGACGGATTCCTTTGACAATCTAGAACAGGCTGCGCCAACACCTTCCACACAAAATGCTTCGATTCCATGGTATCTCAAACAGCAGTCATCCGTACAATTACCAGTTCAACAACCCGCCGAGATACCCGCGCTCCCACCAAACCCCCCACCACTCCTCGAAACCCTCCTGGACTACATTTCCGTCACAGCTGGTCTAGACGACCTAGAGCTTCTCGACCTACGGCACCTCGACCCCCCACCAGCGCTTGGCCCCAAGCTGATCATGATCATTGCCACGGCCCGATCGGAAAAACATTTACATGTAGCAGCAGATAGATTTTGTCGGCACCTACGAAGAGAGCACGGTTTGAAAGCAAATGCAGCAGGACTGCTCGGCCGGAACGAACTGAAAATCAAATTGAGGCGCAAGGCAAAACGGATGCGCATGCTGGCGAATGTGGGCGGAGCGATACCCGAAGGCAATATTGACGATGGAATCCGCACGGGCTGGATCTGCTGTACGCTGGGCAAACTAGAAGCGCACCCAGAAGATACACATATGCCCGGCGACAATGTACAAGAGTTTGTCGGGTTCCGAGATGTCAAGCCCGGTGTCAATGTGGTGGTGCAAATGTTTACGGAGGAGAAGAGAGCAGAGACGGATTTGGAGACGCTGTGGGGTGGAGTGGTGAGAACGCATCAGAGAAAGATTAAGACGGCTGATGAGGCGCTGAAGGAGTTGGAAGATGATATCGAGGATCTTGAGGAAGAAGATGGGGAGGACATTGAGTATGAAGCGCGGCGTACACCGCGTGGAGTGAATAAACAGCCTACTGAGACGAGTAGACCTGTCACTCCTCCGACACCAGCGCGGCAGATGCATAGACCGCGGCCAACTGCTGGAGATGTCTTCCCACCCGCTTCAGCTCCAGATTCTCGGAAGCAGATACGTAGGCTGCATACAGTCGGGTTGTAGCAACACCAACCCTAAAAAGAACTCGAGCATAGAAAAGAAAAAGGACATTAAATTCCGTAAAGCCGTGGCATCCAACCACTGTACCCATATTCTAGCCATCTGTAACACTACCAGAAAATAAAAATAAAAATAAAAAAAATACCACATACCACCCATTCTCAGACTCCAGTAACCCTCCCAAACCCCTCTAGAAAATCCTTCCCACAACAAACGCCTCAAAAACCACATTCTCAAGTACCTTCCTCTCCACTACACCCCCATACCCATAACACCGTACGGCCCCCACCAACTTCTCCTTTAGTATCTCCCACCTCCCCACCTCCAACCCACTAAACGTCGCATGCTGCCTTACATACTCCCACGCCTGTACCGGCGTGACCTCGCCATCGGCCAGCGGGACGTTCGACGATATACTCAGCACGTGCGACAGCGAGGAGCGGGGCGCGCGCCATGGCGTTTGCGAGTGCTGGCGGTGTCCCGGTGGTGAAGGGTGGGTGTGCAAGAGGCAGGCGGAGAGGGTGAGGGCGTGGCCGGTTGTTGTGGGTAAGGAGGTGGTGCGGGGGTGGTGTGGGGTGGGGATGAGCGAGATGTCGGTGTGGGAGAGGCAGGGGGATTCGAGGGTGAGGACGAAGTCCATGCCGATTATGTCTGGGTCGAGGGCGCCGAGGTGGGTGGTTGGTGGTGGTGTGGGGGTTGGGGAGGAGGATTGGGAGTGGGAGGAGGAGTTTGAGGAAGGGGGGGAGATGGGTTGAGAGAAGTTTGGGGTGGGTTTGTGGGGTTGGGTGACGGAGATTTGTTTTCGCCAGCTTCCCTTTTTTGAGATGGTGTTTTCTTGGAAGACGGTGAGACTGATAGTCTCGTCTGTTGCTTCGTTTGCTGTGGGCAGCGGGACATCTTGCTTTGTCAAGCCCTTTTTTAGGACACTATTTTCGGCATAGAGGGTTTTGATTTTTGACTCGAGGCGTGCTTCTTTGGCGCGAAGACGAACAACTTCGCTTTCTAGAGATGCGATGTATGTTTCTTTTCGCTCGCGGTGGCTTCTAAGTGTCATGTTAGATTAAAAGGACTTGGAGAAACAACGTCGGGTGTTATTTGCAGCAAACATATGCAGAACACCCTGCAGGAGAAATAAGAGCGTTTAGAAACATACCTTTGTGCCCTGCGAACTTGCTCTCGTCGTTTTTGTACTGGGTTCCGAGATTCTGTGGGATCTGCCTTGGGTGTCAGACGATAAGGCTGTGGTATAGCACTTTGCTTTTTCCCGGCCCGCGTGAACTGGTAAAAGCGGGGAACATACCATCCATAGGAGCCGTCTTGTCGCCCTTGAAAGGCTTAAATGCGAATTTCCTCATCTGGTGATATTCAAGTCGATGTTTCGTCCAGCAACAAAATGGGAGCAACGAGAAAGAAACAGGTCGAAAAAGCCGTAAGCAGCTGCAAAAAAGAAGGCGTTCTCTTGCTAAACCTTGAAGTTGGAGAAGGGCTATGATTTGTTAATCTTGCAGCAATCAGAACGACCCAAGGGTGAGAGATGCCGCCCGTTATGCACTGGCGCTAAGGGGTGGGTGGGTTCCCGACCCCTTCGTCAATGCGTTATATGTGAACCCAAACCCTCCTGCACCCAATCTCCAATCTCGTCGCGATTTCATCTTACCAAACGTAATTGGTCGGAAGAAAAAAATTGTTGAAGCAGATGTCGCATTGGCGGCCGCCCACCTTCCTAACCCCCTTCCCCCTTCCCCACTCCTACTCCAGCTGCAGCTCCACAACCTTCTACTTGCAGTACCTGAGCGCCAAGATTTGGATGATTTGCGCATTATTTGCAACAGGTAGTCTTGGTTCCAGATTCAAAATTACGCCTCTGGGAAAAGATTGGCGTGGCATTTCCTGCTTGATGCTCTGATACAGGCACTGTTTCGTCTTCACCGCATGTCCGATCCCGCTTGTACGAATCCGTCAGAAATTGCTAGGCACCATATGCCCAGGTATCGGGCGTCCTTGATTTGTCCGCGTGCATATGAAGCGTGTCCTAGCCAACTATTGGCTGAGGGACAAGATGTCTTCGATGCATATGATTTGCTTTATCCCAAAGCCGTTTGTGTAAATTATCGTGCTATGCCGACTCAGAAACTAGCGGTGGGTTAGCTGTTAATAGATTTATAGATATCTATTTGATGAATGACACATAAACGCGGCGCAAATACTGTTTATGCGAAGAAAATACGAGGCTCAACCAAAGGCACGGTTGCGGTGTTTATATCTGCTGTTTTACCCAAGTATCTTTCTTCCCATTTGATCACTGATGCTTTTCTCGAGAAGATTGACTTTACAATGAGTTCGGTTCGGCAGGCATCTGTTGAGGGTGTTGGTGGTCTCTGCACTGTAGTGATTCTGTTTGTGCGCTCAGCCTAGGCAAAGGAACGACGAACGCCACGGTCACGGTACTCGACATTTCCGGAGGGAAGACGCCAGTGAATCAGGCGCAACGTTTCGACTGAAGAAGTACGAGTATGAATGAGAACGCCAAGGTTATGACTGCCGCGTTGTCAGAGGTATTGAGGACTTGGCAGGGTTGTAGCTTGAATTCTGCGTACAGATGATAGTGTCAGGCACCTTTTTTGGCCCTGGTTTCGAACAAACAACTGGGCTGTTGGGGATTTAATACCCTATGGCTCCTTTTGAGATCTCAATCAAATACTAGACTGCGCCACATTACGCAGTTGTGGTTCTGGGTGGTGCTAGTCACCAACGCACGTTCAAGTTTCGCACTGTCTTGTCGACCCCGGGAGGCCCATGGCCAAGTCGCTACGACAAGTTTCAGGTCTCGGACGCTTGTCATTCTCGAGTATCAAACCTTCCAGGTGATGAACACTGACACATGCCTGGTGTTTTCCTGAGGCCAACGTTATTGAACTAGATTGTGTTGGTATTTAGGGTTCATGGTTTCCGGTGGATAATTATAACCATTATTGAGTCCAGTAGACTTAGCCATCAGTGCAAAGTATTAGCTATTGCTAATGCATGTCACAGCGCGACGTCAAAGCTTAGTAGGATAAGCATCATAAACCGCGGCAGTTCCGAGGGGATGGATGCGATGCTGCGCCACAAGGGTTTGATTGTGGCGGCGGTACTGGACAGGAGCCGGTGAAGTGGTGCGTCAAGCACAGAATCCGGGTTGGTCCAACACCATCGTTTCGGGAGGTGAGACTCGATGAAGACCGCGATGATACCGAGGTCTATCATAACATGGTTGTGGTACATCTTGAGGCTGGTGCTTAAGTAGAATTCGGTCGGGTGTAGATAGGGCTGAGAGCGATGATGACCAGGTTTAAGCCGTTGGGGTCATTATGGCAAGCGACGCAGTGTTTCGAGAAGCTGCAGAAAGCCGGAAATAAGACGACAGAGCACAACAAAGGGCGAGCGCTATTATGGGCGGATTTGAAGACATGGGTAGGTGGTTGCGAGGAGTGGACTAGTGCGTATGTGAGTAGTATATTGGTTGTATACGCGTAGTGTGTAGGCGCGCGGCCACGCTAAACGGCATTGGATACGGCAGAAAGTGGCGCACCTTCGGGAGGCCGGATGCTGGCCTTACGACCAGGTGTCAACTCGGTGCCACAGCCATGCATGAAGCGATGGGGAGAATTGGAGTGACAGCCTATACCGTGATGAATAAATGGTAGATTTAGTAGAATGACACGAGTAGCAGCTCGCAACGTCGCCAGGCAGAATCCGGGGAAGCCAACCAGACCAAGCCACAGGTCACAAAGCTTAGCCCGGGAGCAGTGGAGAGAAGTGGGCCAGTAGCACAGCCCCACTCACCCACCACCAACATCATCACCATCCTATTACGTCGTCGTCCCCTCGGCCCGGCCAGCGCCATTAAAGTGATTAGAATAGCACACTCGTCCGGATGCAGTACCTGCAGCCCCAGCCCGTAAAACCTGCCCCTCCAGAGACACGCGTCCCTGGCATATGAAAACACCCGTCACCCCCGGCTCTCTCCAATAGGTAGTCAGTCTTTCAGCCAGCCATCCGCGTCTTTGTTCACCACCACTGCACACAAACACATACATACAAGAAGGCTTTTGTGCCCTTGTACACTCGTTGATAACTTCTCACATTCGTTACCCACGCCCACTGCAACCGTCATGTGGAAGAGCGTGCTCCAAGCTGCAGTGGCGGCGCTTGCTGCCAGGAGCGTTCAGGCTGCCAGCTACGATGACATTCCCGATATTGAGGTCTTTGGCCAGCACTTTTTCTACACAAACAATGGCTCGCAATTGTAAGTGGCAGTTTACTCGCATTCGCCTACTACCTCACACTGACACATCTCGCAGCTTCATGAAGGGCGTCGCCTACCAGCAAAACTACAGCCCCAACGGCTCTACCAGCGCCAATGCCACTTACACCGATCCTCTTGCAGATGGCGCTGCCTGCCGACGAGACATTCCCTACCTGAAGCAGCTCTTCACCAATGTCATCCGTGTCTACGCGATTGACCCCACCAAGAACCACGACGACTGCATGGCGCAGCTGGCCAGCGCCGACATCTACGTTGTCTCGGACTTGGGCGAGCCCTCTACTTCGATTCGTTCAAACGATCCAGAGTGGGATGTCACCCTCTACCGCAGATACACGGGCGTCATCGACTCGCTGAGCAAGTACAAGAATGTCATTGGCTTCTTCGCCGGCAACGAAAACGTCAGTTCAGACAACCAAACGGCTGCTGCTGCTTTTGTCAAGGCTGCTGTCCGTGACACAAAGACTTACATCCAGAACCAAAACTACCGCAAGACTCTCGGTGTGGGCTATGCTACCGCCGACGTGCCTTCCCGCAACGAGCTCGCTCATTACTTTGCCTGCCAGCCCGGCGACGCAGGCAACAAGACCTCCATTGACTTCTGGGGCTACAACGTCTACTCCTGGTGCGGCAACAGTAGCTACACAGCCTCCTCCTATGACGAGCGCGTAAAGTTCTTCTCCGACTATCCAGTCCCCGTCTTCTTCGCCGAATACGGCTGCATTGAAGGCCTCCCCGGCGGTCCCACCAGCCGACCCTTCACCGAAGTTCCCGTCCTCTACGGCAACATGACCAACGTCTTCTCCGGCGGCATAGTCTACGAATGGTTCATGGGCGCCAACAACTACGGTCTCGTCAGCCTCACCAACAACGACGCCAGCGTCTCCCCATACCCCGACTTCACCTCTCTCCGCGACCAACTCGCATCCGTCACCCCCTCCGCCACCCAACGCTCAACCTACACCCCGACAAACAGCGCCCCAGCCTGCCCTTCCGTCGGCGGCACCTGGCTCCCGCAAGCCTCGCCCTTGCCCCCAACAGTCAACCCCCAACTCTGCGCCTGCATGCTCGAAAGCCTCCAATGCACATATACCTCCGACAACCAAGACGCCTACCCCAATGACTTCAACTACATCTGCGGCGCAAACCAAAAGTACTGCGCTGGCATCGCGCGCAACGCAACAAAAGGAGACTATGGTGCGTACTCGGGCTGCGATCCAAAAGATCAACTCGCATTTGTCGCGAATCAGTATTATATCGGTCAGAATAAGCGCGCGGATGCGTGCAGCTTTTCGGGCAGAGCCAAGACGCAGTCCGCGACTACCGCGAGTGTCTGTACCAGCTTGCTGAGTGCCGCGGGCGTGAATGGTCAGGGCTCTGTACCGACAGCTACGGGTAAGGGGACTGCGGGCGTGAGTGGTGGTAGTGGTAATGGTGGTGCGGTGAAGAGTTCTGGGTCGCCTGGTGCGGCAGCGGGAGTGAATGCGCCGGGTTTCTTTGCACATGGCAAGTTGGCTATGGGTATTTATGCTGGGTTTGCTGCTGTTAGTTTCCTCGGCATGCTGGTGCTGTGAGTGGTTAATGGTGGATGGTCGTATGGTTCCCTCCTCTCCCTTACTTCCTTTTTTTCCTTTCTTTCTTGATTGTATTCTGGGGGTGGAGAGAGAGAGAAGAAAAATATTGTGGAGGATTCCCTTTTTCTTTTCCTTTGTCTGTGGGGAATTCATAAGGTGTTAGAAGATTGTTGTAGTATTGGTAACATCTGTCCACTCTTAACGGAACAACCGCCGTAACGAGGAAACAATCGATACTTTAACTTGGAAGTAAGAGACTGTCAGCATACTAATTGAAATAATACAAAATTATATTAAGGCTACTTACTACGACTCCTTCTCTAGCTACAATACCAAGTCTATGTAAGAATTACCTTTCCACTGATACCTTCTCGCAAAATTTAAAAAGACTCATCTTTTCAATAAGATAAAGCGATATAACCTCCAGAGCCACCACGGCACATCGAGTACAATAACAACCTATTAAGCGCCTATACGTAGATCTCAGACTTGAACATTATATCTAAGGAGAAATATTCAGCCGCAAGGCTATGAGTAGCAAGCAGCCCAATCTGTACAACCACCAATTGTTGCCGAAATGACTCCCAAATCGATTAACACGCCGTACTCTTTACTAGATTACGGTTAGAGATTGCTTCGGAACTAGGTGTACTACTCTTTCCTACAGTATAGCTATCGCCTGTTGGTGCACGCTTGATAGCTAATAGTCAAGTAATTAGCCAGTGCGGGGATTGGCTGATTAAGGAGGGATTCATGAGCCAACAAATCACCACCCCATGTCAACGCAAGCAAACACCACAATCTCTAAAACCTCGAGATTTCCATAAAGAATATCCATCAAGATCTGTAGCTAGCCGCTCTCTGTTTTTTCTTTTTGTTCATTCGAAAAACAAAAAGATTCAACCTCTTAATATTAGCAACCTTACGATTCTGCAGTCTGTTGACCCATTTCCCACAATTTACCAACACGCCGACCCTCCTGTCTTACACAAATCGCTTGTCAGTCAGCTTTTTATTTGGACTAACCATATCGTGCATACTGTTGGCAAAACAAGACTGTATCTGGTTGATTCAATTACGATTACCCCCTTTTGTTTCCCCCCAGCCCTCTCTTCTCCGATCAAACTAACAGATACAGCATCTCAATTGCCTAATCAAAACAGAAAACTACAACGTATCGCTACCTAGAAATCCTATGTAAAACACTAGAAAAAAAGTCATGAACGATTTGACCTGTGCATACGCCTCTTTCCACCCTACTCAATCGTCCTTCTCCTGTAACTCAAGGAGATGGTTGTAACCCATACGACACGACACGGTAAATGGATGGGCTTCCCCCAGTACAGCAGTAAACCCAGTCAATGACCTGTATAACATGGGTAAAGCCTCCGCCACGCGCTTCTGTTCCTCAAGACAAAGCGAAATGTCGTACAGAGTGCTTAGCGTATCGACATGCTCAGGTCCCAGTACTTTCCCTCGCCCCTTAAGCGCCTGCCGGTACATTCCTTCTGCCTCAGTGTGTTTTTCTTGTCTATACAATGTAAGGGCTAGGTTGTGTATAGTACGTAGCGTGTTTGGATGCTCGGGTCCTAGCAGATTTTCTTGATGCTTAAGTGTCTGCCGGCACATCACTTCGGCCTCAGTGTATTTGCCTCGGCATGTAAGGACTAATGCTAGGCTGTTCATGCAGTTCAGGGTAGAAGGGTGGGTAGGACCTGATACCTTTTTCCTTATATCGAGTACTTTCTGGCACATTGCTTCGGCCTCTGTGTATTGTTTCTTGGAAAACAGCATCATGGCTAAATTGAGCGTGCTTTGTAGTGTGACTGGATGTTCAGGCCCGAACAGCTTTTCAGTAATCTCCAACCTTTGTTTATGTAATATCTCGGCCTCTTCGCATCTCCCTTGACTTTCTAGTACCAGAGCCAAGTTGGTCATGGTTGCCAATGTATTTGGATGCTCAGGCCCTAGCAGCTTCTTGCACTGCGCCAGTGTCTGCTGGCCTAACGCCTCAGCTTGGACGAAGTTGCGTTGATTATACAGCACTAACGACAGTCCGCCCATAGTTGTCAGTGTATCCTCATCCTCAGGCCCTTGCACCTTTTCACGTATCGCTAGCTCTTCCCTACGGATCGCTTCGACCTCATCGTATTTTTCCCACCCATCCAGGGCAAACGCCAAGCAGCCCATAGTTTGCAAGGTGTCTAGATGCTCAGGCCCTAGCGCTTTATTTCTCAATGATAATGCTATTCGTTGTGTCGTCGCTGATAGTTCATATAGCCCCAAAGCTGCTTGACACTGGCCGACTCGTGTTAACAGTGAAGCTCTCGTTAAGTCATCTACGAGGCCAACGAGCCCAGCCAAGTACATTGCATGCGGAATATACACGCTCCATATTTGGGAGCTTCTGTAATCACCATATGGCAGCAATTTCTCAGCTCGGGCTACTGCTATGCCTGCCCACTCCTCCCGCTTGCCATGTCCCTCGAGCCACCATATCAACGCCATATGTACTAGTCGATGCATATCAAAAAGTCTCTCGGTGCTGGATCCTGGTACGGCTTGTCTTCTCTCTGTAATGAATGCATATCCAGTCAGTGTTCCAATTGCCTTTGTCTGTTGTACAGCGAATCTTTCCGGTGGCAATAGTGACTGAGGAATACCAATACGATCAATGCATCCTATAAACGAAAGGTACTCCGCTGCAAGAGGGTCTTGCCTCTGGATTTGCTCAAAAGAGATATACCACGTCTTCGCGACGGTACTGTCCATGTCTCGGTATCTACCAAGGTCTTCGAAGTGCTCGCTAAAGAGCTCGGCCTTGGTGCCAGCATCCTGGAGCAGTGATGCGTATTCAGAAACTGATATTTCGTTCTGGTTGATGAAAGCAGCAGCCTGTACAATAGCCAGCGGCAGGCCTGTAAGTGTCTCCAAAAGGGCATCAGCAGCTGTCTCATCATTCAGCGATGCTTGATTATTTATTCGGTGAACAAATAGCTGCCGAGCTTCAGACTTGTCCACTTCATTCAACTTGAGGACATTATTTGGGGTCAGGTCTGTTGCTGCCTTTCTACTGCGAGTAGTGAAGAGCACGGATCCACCCGTACTGCGAGGAACATAGTCAATCAATCGATCCAGCTTGATTGTCTTGTTACTGACTCCTAACAAGACTTCCGAGTCATCCGCGTTGTCAATTATCATTAGCCAACTACCCAAGTTTCCGGAACTCAGTGCATCCCTGACAAGTTGCTTTACATCTGCGTTAGCATCATTGATTCCTGGTATGCGAAGCTTGGCTCCAATGTCTCGATAGGCAAGCTCAAAACTCTCCTGACTCATAGTTGGTACCCAGAAAACTAGGCGTCTAGCTTGATCCGCAAATGCGCGATACGCAAACTCGAGAGCAAGCGCTGATTTCCCACAGCCCCCGAGTCCATATATCGTCAGCCATTGATGGGCGCCAGGCGAAAGTAGAACTTGTTTCATTGACTGAAGCTGAATCTCTCGTCCGGCGAAGCGCTCATTTCGTGGAAAAGGTATTGACAATACGGCTGTAGGTCATCAGCGAAGTGGCCCATGCATTTCAATACTACCCAATACAAACCGGAGGAGTTTTGCAAATCCGCCTTCTTGCTCCCTTGTTGGCGTTTTTGTATCTCCTCTTCGAGACGCAAAGCGGCATACCCCTCTCCCTCTCCATAAATGAGCGGCAGAAACACTCCAAAGATGCCGAGCAAACAGTACACTTTGTCTTCCCTGATCGTAGTCGTGCGTTGTGCAGACCAGCTCATTCGCTCCTCAATACTAAACTCGGCGAGGCTGTGGCCTCTCAACGCCTTGACGGGTATACTAGTGACTCTGTGTATCTCTTGCTCTAGCGACATCTTGTTGCCCAGCCACTTGCCGTCTCGAGAGAAGAACTCGACGCTGGCTGGCGCTAGTAGCTCTTGCAAATTCCAGCCTCGCGTGAACCATCGGCTGCGTTGAAAGGCTTGCTTCCATAATATGCCGGATATCTCAGTGCTGGTGACTTCTTCAGGTATAGAAACGTCTGTGAGTAGTACGTAGCACTTGGCTGCACGCTGGTACCAGCGGAACATGGAGTTGATCGCTGTACTGAGCTCGTCACTCGTAGCCTTGTTGATGCAACAAGTATCGACCCAGAAATACTCGAGTCCGTCGGCTGCAGCGCGCTCGCCGCAGAATCGAATCTTAGCATAGCCATCCTTGTCGGTGCCTGTTCCCTTCAGTAGCTCATCATAGGTGACTTCTTGGTTTTCGGTCCAGGTATGAGAGAGAATGGCGTATGGAGGGACGAGGTCGTCATTGAAAGATGTTAGCTCGAAGCCACTGCCTGTTGCGGAAGACTTGAGAAGGCGCATCGTGTTCCAGCATGTTCTGCCAACAATACCTGCAGGTTTGATAACGGTGTGCAATGCAAGCAGGTAGAGGTAAGAGTTGCAGAGTACGTCGAGTAGGCTGCCAGCAAGCACTTGATGCCCCTGCAAGGCTGCATGGCTGTGGGCTGCGGGCTGCCTATTGGGCATGGCAGCAGTCTTGAGGCGTAGCAAATCTGGGCAGGCATCAACTGACTTGGGGGCCAATTCTGGTAAGAGCTCCCATTCAAGTCCTTACAAGGCAAGAACGTTTAAGCGCGCTCCTCCAAGCTATGCAGTGTGTATATACAGACAGCGACATTCGATTCACGGCAAAACAAAACAGCTTACAATCTTCGCATTTCTTTACATTAATACACATACGTGACTTGTGCATGTAGCATACATGTTTTTTTCCTCGAGACGCCACGCTATGCTCTACAAGTAAGTCACCACCCAACCAAACATATACATGACATAGTGGCTGAAAAGATCAATCAATTAATCAATTAATCCAATCTCGTTGGTAATTGTTGTTTGCTTCCGTTTTGGTTTCTCTTTTGCTTCAACAATGCGTTTTTTGCTGCTTTTGCAAATCAGGACAAGCCTCGCTCTGCGTAACATTTCCTTCTCTTAGTGCAATGTGCTGCATACCATCTCTTTCATAGTGCATGTACTGCACATCGTTTCTCCTACTTCTTAGTACATGTTGGGTGGTCCCGGACGGCCTGGCTGTTGTCGTGGAGGCCCGTTGAACTGGCCGTCAAACATCATTCTTGGGTCCTCACCACCACGCATACCTGGCATTGGCGGTCCACCGTAGCCTGGTGGTGGAAAGTAGCCGGGCGGTCCTTGCATGCCGTTGCCACCGGGTCCTACTGGACCTCCTGGCCCACCGGGTCCGCCTGGGAATCCTAATCCACGAATGTTACCACCGGGAGGAAATCCAGGAGGGTGTCCAAGTGGTGTGTTGCCAGCGGAGAAACTTGGTCCTCCAGGACCCATCTGCGGAGGAGTGGGACCGCCAAGACCAGGTGGTTGACGCATGGGGCCTCCAAAGCCTGGTGGTGGAGCGATATTTGGTCGCTCTTGGGGTGTGGGTGGCATGCCGGGTTGGCCTCGTCCACCCATGTACTGCATATCGGGTGTGGGCTGCGAAGGAATGCCCATGTTGGTAGGCATGCGGGGATCGCCTCCTGTGTTGCGGCGCTGAAGGCCCATGAGAGCATCTTCAGGGCCAGGGAATCCCATGGGCATGCGGGGATTCTTCGAGCGCATGGCCTCTTGTTGTTGCTGCATTTGCTGCAATTGGCGGAGCTCCATTTGCTCACGACGGTCAGCAGCATCCCGGCGCAACATTTCACTTTCGTTGAACATGCGAGGATCTTCCATAAAGCCTGGGGGAGGACCACCACGGCCCTTGGGTTGATGCTGAGCTGGTGGCTGTGGTTGCTGTCTTTGCTGGTCAAAGAAAGCCATATTGGGGTTCTCTTGGGCTGGGCGAGGCAGACCGTGGCCTTGTGCTTGAGGTGGTGTGCCGCGAGAAGGTTGTTGCATGAGGTTTAGCAAAAAGTCGCGCTCACGTTGTTTCGTCGCTTGATCACGTTGTGATTCTTCCCTTGCCCGGCTATTCAGGAGAGCGGTAAGGTTAGCATCTTGAGCGATGGTTCGTGGTGGGGGCGGCTGATGAGGAAAGTGGTCTTCAGGGTGACCGGAACCTGGGCGGGGAAGTCTGAATTGATCAGAATGTAGATTCTCTGTTGACATATTGTTAAAGCGAAGCTGCTGCGACGGACGAGACTCTGGTGCTGCAGGACGAGGAGCCAGGATGTTCTCTAGAATACTCTGCTGCTCAAGAGTTCGCGGTGGTGGCATTCTACCGTGTTGTGGGTCGGGCGGAGGGGATTGTTGATGGAAGTCCAAGGAGATGCCACCGCCCTGTCGCATGCCATTTGGTGGCGTAGGCATATTTGTTTGTGGCAGTGGAGCTGGCGATGGACCTGTACTGACTTGACCGAGCATCTGAAGAATACGTTGAAAGCCTTCCTTGTCAGCATTTGCTTCCATGGGAGGTGCTGGGGATGCAGAGTGTGGTGCCGGAGGTTGGTTCGGTGCTGCCTGCTGCTCCTCGGGTTTGGCGAACATGGTCATGAACCTCGACTTCTTGTCTGCCCTTGGTTTGGCTGAGATATTCTCTGCCGGTGGTATCTCTGTGGACTTGTCCCTGCCCCAGTTTCCGAAGAGAATACCTTGAGTAGCTTCGCCAGCAGAAGGTGTGTGCAAAGGCGCAGTTAACATGGGGGCTGCAGTGATAGCGCTTGCAGTAGGCGCCTCCGTAGGAGCCTCTCTCGGCTCGTCCTTGTCACCACCTGGCGTATCCTTGGCCCGCATCTGCTCTTTCCAGCGCTGGAAGTCTTCTTGTGTGCGAGGCTTCAATTCTTTCTTCTCTACCTTGGCGTCCATCCACTCTGGGTCATCCTCACCGCGAGCCGCACTACCACGGGTCCATTCGCGGCCATTGTCTCGCTCCCGGTCTCGTTCGCGTTCGCGCCAACCGCCCTGGACGCCAGTCTTTGCCCCCTCATCTCTACCTTCGTCACGGCGCCCCCATCGCGGCTCATTTCGATCACGGGTGTTACGACGCGGGGCCGCTTCAGCCTCTGGGTCGCCCTCGTGCTTATCCCTGTTGCGGTCACCATTGCGGCCGAAGCGCTCAAAGTCTTCCTGGCCCAGGCTCTTGCGACCCTTGACATTGGTCCAGCCCTCGCCATCATCTCGCGGGGCGCGGCGTCCATTGGTGTAGCCCTTGTCTCGGGTCCGATCAGTCTCACGGTCTCGCGTCCATCGGTCGTTCTTTGGGAAGCGATCTCCGCCGTTGTCTCCGTCTGTAGATGTGAGGCCGGTACGTTCCTTTGCGTCACCCGCTGCTTTGGCCGGAGTGCGGGCTGAGAGGAAGGCTAGCTTTGGCGGGCCGAGCACAGTCTCTTCGCCGGGTTCTACAAAAAGCGCGTTAATAGCGGCCTTGATGCCCTGGGCATCAGAAGACTTACGCATGCTCTGGCGCCGACCAAACTGGCCCATGGGGTTGTGCAGCGGCCGCTGGTCGTTTGCCGTGGCGCCTTCTCCCTCCCGTGCACCTCGAGTGCGACGCATGGTACCGTTGTTGTTGGTATTGGTAGTGTTGTTGTTATTATTGCTTGTGTGGCCATTGTTGGCATTTTGATCGACAGGCACGTCCATCCATTGCGAGATTGACGGCAGGCCATCGGGCTTCTTCACTAGTGGGGACTCTTTCAGAGCCAGCAATTGAGCCTCCGAGTACGATGGCCCCCGCATTGTCGCGACTGAGGGCACCGCAGACATGGGGATGCAAGTGGGGCAGGCCGGGAGCGACCTGCTGAAGCTCGAGACAGCAGGGCGGGATGCAAATTGGGGGGTTTGGAGTGCCGGGCGACGGCGGCAGGGGCAGCTTCAGGGCCGTCTGGTAGTCGCTTGCTGTCGACTCGCTTGCAATTGGATATGATTGCGTCTGTGTGTGTGCGGGCGTGGGCGATGGGTTGTGGGTCGTGGTTAGGTGGAAGAGTTGAGAGGCGTGATGCTGAGGGCCAGGATTTGTGGCGTTCGGTCTAAGTGCGCGTGTGTGTCGCAAGGCGGGAGAGCGAGGTGAATGAGCTCTTGGTGGGATGCAACGTGGTAGGGGAGTAGCGCACACCCTGGGCTGCAGTAGCGGCGACTGAAGCGGAGAGGGATCAGCTCTCGAGTCGTGACTTTGTGCCAAGGGCGGACGTGGTTGTGGCTCAAAAATGTCGTCGTCGCTTCAAAGGCGCAAATGGGACACAGGGAAAGCGTGGGCGTGCAAGTGGTAGCGTGAGTTTGTTATGGCAGTGTGTATTGGGTTGCCAGTGGTGCGGGCCTCCACGACAGAGAGCCCTGCCAAGATCTGGTGTGGAAACACGGTAGGTGCGTCATTCTAGGGTTCACCGCATGTGACTTGACCGTCGCACAGAACTTCAGTCAGCCGTGGGCCTTTTAGTAGTGTGCCCCAAAAAATTTAATTAGATATCATATATATCTTCAGGCTTTGGTGAGACGGGCCACCGTCTCGCCCAGACCACCGCTACTCCATGCCGCCACCTTCTCCTGATCGCATGTCTCAAAAACGCGCGTAGCCAGTATCCTCAGGGCACCCTGTCGCGCGTCATGTCCGTCGAGCATCATTTGGATCCAAGCCATCAGTCCGCATCGTGTGATGAGCGTTGTGCTTCCCCCTACATGTGTCGCCCGCAACAGGAGCTTCACAATCTTGTCTTTGGTAGACGCCGAACATGACCGAGACCCATAGTGGCTCAGTAGTTGTTCGAATATGTTGCTTCTCCTAAACAACTCCATGTCTGCCCCTGTCCTCAAACTATCCATCAAGTAATCCAAGTACCAATCCACCTCCTTGTGGTAGGTCGTGTCGTCGTCTGGCTGGCTGGCCACAATACGGTGCCAGAAGAAACGCAATAGGGAGTTGACATCCCACGCCGGTGAGGCAGTGAGAAATCGGTTCACTGTGCTGAAAAGCGAGTGGGTCGGGTCTGCAACGATGCTCGCGCAACGTGCAGCCAATACGCCACCAACGTACGGAAAGGCCTCCCTACCAGTCTCATCAATAGACTCCAAAAGCTCACCGAGAAGGAGATAGAGTTGTTGAAGGTCAAAGTTGATGCTGCTTCCCGCATCCCCTCCAGAGCCATCTCCTTGACTGCTGAACTTGATCGTTGCTGTAACCTGTCGGATGTTGTTGATAGCCTGCTTGCGGATTTCACCATGTTCGGAGCAGAGACACAGAATCAACTCTCCAATGTCTCCGTCTTCAACCGCTTCACTCAGCTCCTTCTTCCTCCAGCGTATCAGACCTGTATGTTTTTCGTCTTCAACTGGGGGTTCCTCCAGATCGACCACAGATCTCGTCCTACTCTGCTGTTCAGCTTCCTGTACTCGCGCTGCTACTGGCACAGGCGACGTCGATGATCGTTCCGACCCACTGAAGTCTGCACCAGTTGCCAACTTCAATGATTCTTTGGCTTTTTCCTTGCCCATCTTCCACAGGAAAGCATCCTTGAGCACCTCCTTGTATGCTACATTGGCCGATTCAACAAGGGCGTCGCGGACCTGGCCCAGCATCCTCTCATCTTCGCCAATAAGTTTGAGAAGATAGAGAAGTCGCGATAACCATTGCGCAAGAGCATCGGCTGCGTTGCTCGTTGCTGTCTCTCCACCCTTGAACGGCCACTGCTCAACTAGAGTCATCAGCAGGTTGCTAAACGGCCCCATGTCGCTTGCGGGTCGTCCAATGCGGCCGCACATGGCATCCAAATCGTCAAAGTACTTAATGGGCACCTTGGTGAAACGCGCGCAGCAGTCGTCTAGGAACTCAAGTACCTCTGTTGAGGATGCGCTTGATCCTGACGTTGATCCCAGACTGGCAATGAGTGCGTCAAGCGCATCGGGCGAAGTCTTGGTTTGCAGCATCTCTTGATCCTGCAAGATGTCGCTCAGCAGAGATCGAATACCTGCATAGAGCTCGCTCTCCTTTGATGTTACCAGCAGTTTCAAGAGCGTGACAAATGGCGAGTACGAAAGCGTTTCTGTAATTGTTAGTCAAGTCCACTAGCTGATGTAACCGGTAAGGTGAAAACCTACTCTGCTTCTGCCACCAGCGCATCGCTGGCGACAACCTTGCCATTTGTATCCAGTGTTCAAGCTCCATGATGCGAAATACCTTGTCCTCTGGTAATGCAGTCGGCTTCTCGGCCTCCACCAATGCGTTACACAGGGGCAGCGATACATCAAACTTTTCCTGAAGCGCGACCTGAGGAGTCACCTCGTAGTAGAGTCGCAATAGCCTTGTGATTGACTCTCGCTTCATATCCTTGAGACCGGGCTTCTTAAGCGCCAAAAAGACCGTCCGGATCGCTGGGCAACGTCGGCTAACCTCTGATACTAACCGCTTAGACGCCTGATCCCACTGTTTGGATGATTTCACAGCACTGGCGTTGCCGAGTTCTTGAAGAATCCCTCGTAGCTTCTGAAGGGCCACAATCAAGACCCGTATCGCAAATAATTGTATAAGATCTGAGCTGTGGTTGAGACACTTTGTGAGTACTTGCTGGTTCAAAGGCTGGGGCAGGATGCTGTTCATCAGCACAGCTACTGGAGGAGGATAGTCGCGATAGTTCTTCTTCGCGCCAAAATATTTTGGAACTGGTAGCTGAATGGTTTGGTACAGGAATGCTGAATAGCCGATCCAGGTTGACGTGAGCTTAGGGTCGTAGCTGAAGTCGCGTCGTTTGATAAAATAGTCCGCAATCAACTCAGGGCAAGCTCGGAATATATCCACAACAAGTTCCTGATGCAGTGTATTTGCATATGGTCTCTGACTTTGAATGAACTCTGACAAGATAATGTTCCGTACTTTTGTTATCTTGCTGTAACTGCCAACGGTGTCGAGCCCCAGGTCATTGCCGTAATCAGCTGCATCATCCTGTTCATCCTCGTTATCGTCAAAGGCAGATGGATAGAAACCTTGCGTGGGCAGCATAACACCATATGCGGGATCGGTACAGACTAGACGCAAGAAATCATGGGCAAGCTGGTCGGGAGCCTTTTGTCCCTCAGAAAGGGACCCCTCTTCTGGTTCATAACTGTATAAACTTGCTATCCGCGAAAGTGTCTTTCCACTCAAGATCCTGCTCTTGGTTTGTCGTGCAATTGCTTTGTCCTGGAATACATGGCTTCTGAATACATCTAGTATCTCGTATATCAGAAACGGCGGGTCTGTACGGATGTGGTCGAAGACGGTGCGCACAACGTTGGTGTTGGAAAGTATCTCGCTTTTCGCGCGTTCGTCCTGATACCTTAGGTGCGTCAAGAGGTATCGGATCGCCGTGGTTCGGATGCTTGGTTTCTTGACATGGTCGGCCACCGATTGTTCTCTGCTTAGGTTGATGTTTCTACCCAGTATCTTGGGTTCGAGGGTAAAATCTTTCTTTGCATAGACAGCCCTCGCATGAGCGCCTTCATTAAATCTTGTAAGCTCAGTAAGCAGACGGAGTGCGGGCGCAATGACGTTCTCTTCCTTGGATGCGGCCGAAGTACTACGCACGAAACGGCGCGCAATGGATGGTTGCAGCAGTGTTTTTGCCAAAAGTGTGCCGTACTCTAGGAAATCGCCGTGGCTAGAAAAGACCTTGAATAAGAGTGCGAGTACAGCGGTGACCTGAGAAACGATAGGGCTGTTGTTGGTCTCAACCGCATAATCCCATGCTTGGGTAAGATTTTGTAAGAAAGCCTTGTCCTTCTCCTCTCGTCCTTTTCCTTTTTGTGTGTCCAGATACTCGCGGAGAATAGCTCGTTTGCGGGGCAGATCGTGCTCGTCGGCCGGGTAAAGAATGGAATCGAGGAAATGCTTGAACAAGCTCAGGCCTATGCTGATGAGTCTCTATTAAATTCCAGTGATACTACCTATGCTTACCGCTTCGAAAGTTGCTCTGGGAGCTCTGGTCGAAAAAGAGAGCATTCTGCAGGTCGCGCGCAGCGGTAACTTCCTCGGCACTGCCATTTGGCCGTGGTGAATTGCGTTCATAGTGAGTGTCGATTTTCTGGCGCTTGTTCTCGCGATCAACATGCGCACTCCTGGCATGGGCGTCATAGGCAGTCCTTTTCCCCATGGCGCAAGTTATGTCGCGTTGTACGCATCGAAAAGTTCGAGCATCTGAATTTCGGCGGGCCTTTGCAGGGATGTCGGCTAGCGCAAAGCCTAAAGCTTGGACCCATGGACATTTACGTACTGTGTGGATTCACGAACGAGTCTAGACGTGCGCAAACGTCAACAACCTAACACATCACCACAAATGGGAAAGATACTTTTTCTCATTGTTTGATTTTTGTTCTACTATGTAGCCGATTGAACTGAAGGCTACATCCCTCTATTTGCTCCAATTACAAGGACTATATCTAGGCTGCAGTCCAGAAAAAGTGGCTGCAGCGCTTTCTAGCTTGGTATAGGCCCTTCCTATGGGCTTGCTTGATCTTGCGTGGTAGGGTGCGATGTTGGTTGATCAGAAAATGCCACTATACAAAAAAAGTCGCAGAAGACTCCGAGGATATGCCGATGCTGCGATGCGATGCAAAAGTGACAAGAAAAAAGCGCAATGCAAAAAAAAGGTCATGACAGTAGGCTAGCGGCCCTGAACAAAGGAAACCAGAAAACGCCATTGCAAATCTCGGTTTTGTTGTCGCTAAACAAGGATGTCCGGGGTATCATGCAGCGACGTAATAAGGAAAAGGAGAACGGAGCGCGCAACGGAGGCCAAGAACCATCGAACAGGACCGTTGATTTTTTTTGTATGTCATCGTTTGAGAGGCCTATGGTACTTTGATCCCGAGCTTATGGAGTTGTTCTTCTCGCGGATCTGTATCGTCGGGACTGGTTCTTGGTTGTTCTTGGCCGACAAGGCTGCAGAAATGGCGAGGGTGACGAGGGTGAGGATCTCTGCACAGGCAGCACCAATGGCGGTATAGAATGCGACTCCCTACGAACTATATTAGCAAATGCTGTGGGCAGAGTTTGACGAGCGGATAGTCTTACCTGCTCCTCGCAAACAGCGCGATACTGATATCGCCCATTCGTCAACAAGTTCTTGTTTGTGCACGAGTATCGACCCAAGCTAGCCTTGCTCGCCTTGTTGAGCAAATAGAAAACGACCAGCGCTGTGATCCAAGTGATGACGCCGAAGCTGCCGGCAACGACACGATAGACGTCTCGTGAGCGAAAGGGGCGGCGGAAGGAGCGCTTGAAGGAGAGGGTGAGGATGGCGACCGAGGCGAGGAAGTTGGCAGCAGCAATGCAAAAGAGCACGATGCTCGGGGCGAGATTTGTGTGGGCGGGCCAGACCATGGGCAACTCTCCCTTGCGCAGGTCGATGTAGCGGTTGCCTCGATAAATCTCAAACGTGTGCATCAGCATGCAGACGACGGCGCCGCTTAGGACGATGATGAGCAGGCGGAGACATGAGCGCACTCGGCTGAGCCAATGCGCCCGCGAGGAGATGGCAAGCTCGAGAGGCATTGGCAGCCTTGAGAAAGTATATGGGGCGGAATCCTTGGGCTTGGGGAAGGCAGAGGCGGGTGCGGAGCGAGCGGTGAGGTTGTACGGCTTAGGCGGGGGCGGCGAGGGGGTCGGCAGTGTGGTGATGTCCTGGTTCGAGCCAACTAGACACGTCGTCGTGGTTGTCGTGGAGTTGAGTAACGCGATGTAAGCCCTGGCCATGGTCATGGGACAGTTGGCTATGGCGAGCACTGGCGGCGCGGAGCCTCGAGGTGCTGGGGTCGCAGTCGAGGGTGGCCGCAATGGATCGAGGGGAGCGTCGTAGCTGGCCCAGAGGACATGTGAGGTAGTTGGTAGCGGCAGCGGCAGCGGCAGCAGCACAAGGAGTTGCGGTGGGCGCAGCGGGATGAATATGGGCGCGCCCCGTCAAGGGGGGGTGGGTGCACAATCCAGTCAGTAAACCGGCCTAGCAAGGCTGTGTCCGAGCTTGGAGAGTTCCTCCGCTGATCGACCTGACGTCGAGACTCTGCATGCGCCAGACGCGCTGCACATGGAGCAGTGGTTTTTCTTTGTATCCTCGGCGTGAAGCATGTGTGTGCGCTGGGTTGTGTGCTTGGGCATGGAGTATGTAATTTGCTTCTGCGGCGCCAGCCTGTTTCTGCTTTGCGCATCGTCGACTTTGCTGGCCCTGGAGCACCGCCACGCTTTCTGCCTCAGACAAGGCGCGACATGCACTGCCCAAACGAGCATCCATAAAGCCACGGGTAGCTACTTACTTGTACGCCAGCACCATGTCTGCTATTGGCCCCGTGTTTCTAGACCCATGGCACGGATTAAATCTCCGCTAGGCTGTCGTATACGCCGTTGTTGCAGCAGTCCATACGCATACGTATGTGATGTGGCTGCAACAAGACGACTCCGCCGCAGAACCGCCGCCCTTGGATGGCCTGGAAGACAAGTCTTCCGTTTCCGAATATACCTACTAGATGCGACTCCCCATGTTCAGAGTGCCTCAAGGCGTCATGCTGATATCACGCATTCGTCCGGGATTCATCTTATTCAACATAAGACGCGCGTCCGTTAAAATAAGCATCCAATGGCAGGCCCAGCCATGTCAGGGGTGTGCGGCCCGCTTAGCGTTGGCGCAGCCCAGCTGCACCAGCCACTCTCCCTGTCGCGAACACCATTGTGCATTTGCAATGTCACTGCCGGATGTTGGCGGGCCCCACGTGTGCAGCAGATTGGTGACTACTTACTTACTACCATCATGTAGTAGCTCCGCATGCGTGGCTGTACGAACCTGTCCATATATCTGGTACTCAGGGTCGCACTTTATCTGAAAAAGCATCGTATTCCACATCTTAGTTTGACCCTGCCAGGCCAGGCCAGGCCATGCCATGCCATCTGTCTCTCGACGTCCCTGCACCGCCACACGCCCTCCGGCAACCAGCCAAGCTCGACGTTATCTGCTGATGCAATTCTTCTCCAATCCATGCCGTTGATTACCAGCTTCCGTATCCTACATCGTGGCATCGTCAAAATAGTTAGACGCCCATGCGGGGTTTATATGAAAATATCGAAAAGCCCTTGTAGTAGTGTCGTCACGCTGCAGGTCCAGTAGCCGATTGGCCGGCAATGGGAGCTATCCGCATGCGACCACTCCTGTTTTTTTCTCTACACGTGGGAACCTGATAGACAACTCTAACTAGCGTCCGTCTGGTTTCGAGGCTCCTTCTCCACACACTGTCCGAATATTTCGTCAAATCCTGCCCGAGATCCAACCAAATCCTGTTTCTCTCTTGTCCAGGTCTCCACTATGCCTGCTTCGTCCACGCTTTGCATTACGGCGTCCAGCATCGCGACTGTTTCTTGAGCCTGCATCTTGATCTCTTCAACAGGCTGACTACCAGATTTTTCTTCCTCTTCCAAGCATAGGATCCACAATAAGCACAGGCCCATCATAATCGCACCGCGATGACCAGGCAATCTTGGCCAGGCATTCGTCATGACACTCTGCAGTGCACTCAGAGTTGAAGCAACTAGTGGCTGGTGGGCAAGCACAAAGGGTTCCTGTAGAATCGCCGAAACCAAAGGCAAAATATCCGGTAGGTGCTTGACTGTGTTGATGCCCATATGATTCACCACAATGGGGACCTGTGACATGATCAGAGTAGCAAGTTCGGGGTACGAAGAGGGCGTAGTGAAATGTCCAAGAGGAGAAAAAACACCTTCTCGAAGGATCCTGTCCAAGAACTGCTCTCTGTTATCGCCTTTGCTGTTTTCTTCGGGGAGCAGTAGAGCAAGCGAAATCACTGCAGGGAAGACTTCTCGGAACAATGTCACCGATTCCTTTTCTGGTGTGATTGAAGGAATATACGTGAACATGGGCAGAAGGGCTTCAGCAAAGACGTTACGGTATCCACTTCGTTGGAGGAAGCTCGTTGAGCTAGACTTTTGCATGGTAGCCTTCTGTGAGCTACCACTACTCGGTGTTTGGCGCAAAACTTCGAGTAATAGACCAAGCAGGTGACAACCTTTAGCCTTCCATTCCACATGAATATCATCCATCATCTTAAGGATTGGTGGCATCAGAAACTGCCATTTGGCCTCGATTGTTTTCCTGTCCAGCGTTCGGATCGTCCATACCAACAGATCGAGCGCGTACTGATTTCCAGCATCTTTCCAGGGAGCCGGTTGCCGCGAGGCTTCTAATGCATTCGACGTAGGTTTATTCTGCGGAAAGAGAGGTGGGATGGTAAGCTGAAGAAAGTGTGAGGCTAGGCGAAGGGGAAGCTCACTTTCGTTTTGCTCGCTTCTAGAAGCCTTGACAGCCTCGATGGCCTCCGCTGTGTCGGTAGTGTTGGGATTGCGCAGCTGCCAGGCCATGACGACATCCAATGCTTCCTTCATCCACGGCCCAGGTTTGGTGTTGAGTGCTTTTGCGAGATCGGTTCCTTTGATGAGAGGCCTAAAGGTATCGACCTCGAGGAGATTGAGTTCGGTAACGTGGCTGAGGAAGCTGGCATACGAGCGGAATAGGTCTAGATATCGTCAGTATAATTCAAATTGAAAACTGAAATGGACTGGCCTACCTGCTCTCGATACCCGCCCGAGCACGACCTCGTAGATAAGGTTGAAGAGGACTTGCGTCCGCCAAGTAGACCCCCAACCCCGAATGGCCATTCCCAGAGTATCTCTAGCAGTGGGGTCGCTGGTTGGGTTGATGGTGTCGGGCCGTCGAAGTCCTTTTGCACACTGAGCAACCAAATTGCGAATCTCCTCGCTGTTCTTCAGCGACGACGAAATAACATCGCACACCTTGTTCGGGGCTTTGAATCCTTCCCTTGCAACAAGACAAGCGACGAAATATGGCCGCTGCAGACGCTTCTCATGGGGTACAGTGGGGGCATCAGCCCAAGGCATCATGGTAGCGCAGACCCAGGCTAGGTACTTGTCGTCCTCGTTCCTCAACAGAGTGTCTGGAACAATTGTAGGCACGTTGCCACTTTTTGTCACCACCGACTCGACCACCTCATATGCTGGCTTGAAGTAGGCCGTCTCCGGCTCCGTGGGCAGTTCACGTGTTGGATCTGTAAAGACAGTCCGGTACAGACCAAACCG